CAAAACATTGGACAAGGTTATCCAATTAATTTAACCTGCTAACTAACCCTTTCTTGGAATTTACACCATTTTCCTTGTAATTCCGTATATATACCAATTACCGTTGCATCAATGAATTAATTCCTTCTATTCAGGTACCGATCATTGTTACGTACGTAATGGAATACTAGGCTCGCAATTCCCGCTCATGAAATTGAACGAAGCGGCCAGCTTTGGTAATGGTGGATTCATGGAAGTTCCAGATTAGTCGCAGTCGCTCGCGATCGACACAATTTCTAAATTGGTCGGCCTAACCAGCTGGCAAGTTCTTGAAAGAGTCCGCACGTTCGGCCGGAAAAGAAGTGCGTGTGCGTACTAATGCGTGCACGCACGCGAGGACCGCAGACGGGAATGCAGCTCGATGTGTGGGTGGCCAGACTGCACGCATACTCGCGTGCGAGCACGTGTCCGCTCGTACCGAATTCGCGGGACGAGTTAATGTGGCTTGCGGTGCAAAACGATTTCGGACAAAAATCGCCCTCCACGTATGTATAGGGTGACCCTTGACGACCGCAGCCGGCATTTTCTTCCTTCCGAGAAGCTTTATCGAAAGTGCCGACCGCAACCTCGTTAACCTCCCTAACAAAGTGCACACCAATATTTGTCTTTAGGTTTGAAGTACATGGTAAATGGCAAAAATGCGGAAATTATTCTTGTACCTATACTTTGAATGCTGATATCAATTTTCGGAAATATCGAAAGTAAATTCTTTTATGAAATTATGTAAGAATTGCAATATGCATTCTCATTAATGTTCTTTTAGTTGAGTATGGACACATTAAATTGTATACCGAGTACACTTTACATTATTTGCAAACTAGCTGAAGTTCAAGGGATGCAAGGTCGAGGATTAATTTGCTCTAATTTTAGCCGTTTGTAAAAAGAAGAAAATCCCTGGAATGTTGGTTTAAGTCACTTGCCGTGCTTGGCAGATTCCGGATGATCGATTTCGATCGAAGGGCAATATTTTTACTTTAAATTGCGTTTCTGTGTACTTTTCTGGGCAGACAAGAGCAAGAAAGCTCATGTGTACCTTTTTACGCTTGAGTACGTGTTCGATCACCGAGTATTCTTCGAAGGAGTTAATGCGGTCTGCAGTGCAAGGCGATTTCTTTAAAAAAGAAGAAATGACTACACGTACGGGGTGTCCTGTGAAGCTTGCATAATCGTGAGCAGTCATTCTTGGAAGAAACTTACTGAAATATGCAAATTCAGTTTACATCACGTACCTACATTGACTTTTGAATGATATTTTAACGTTTCGCGAAATATTTACCCTCACCGATTGTTTCTACAATATTTTCAGGTACAGACTAAACCTACTATCCGATTTTTATGTTTAGAATAGAAATTCCTTAAAATAATTATCGCGTAACCATTTACGTATGTAAATGTACACGTATACCCTGAATAAGATTAAAAAATATTCTCTGTTTGCTTTATAATTTCTTTGGCAGTTTTTTTGACCTCTTGACCCCTCGACATCGACAATTCGACGATGAATCAGTTAACCAGGTACAAAGGGCCATTTCATTGAAATCTTTTCAAGCCTCTACTCCACCTTTGCTGAGTCGATGTATTCGCGATATGAACAAGAAGAGTAATTGCTTGGGAGTTGTACCGACCATGGCGCCGAAGAATCTCGTTGCCACGTACGTATGCAAGTTTGTATACACGAAATGAGGTTTGAAAGTATTAGATATTTAATTTATGTTATTTGTAATTCGCCGATACGTTCCGAGTAAATAAATGCAACTAAGTGGCACAGCATTTTTCAAGATCCAGACAATGGTAAAGACTGAGCGCATCGATGCACTTCTATGCCTACGCATCACAATTACACAATAACTGTTTCACGAGTCAGTTCACAAGACTTTTAACAAGCAATAAGATACGTCCGCAATTCGCTATAAACATTTACTCTAAGGAGGTATTTTAAAATAGTCAATGAGAATATATAACAATTTATGGTCCCCCTATCTGTTCTTTTACCTTAAATGACTGAATAACTTTCTGGAAGATTATAAATCAAATTAACGAAAAGATCACCCGTGAAGTGATTAAGCAAATGCATAAATTAATACATAAGTACAGGATATTCACTTTTGACCAGTGCTTCGGCGAAGTACAATGTTAACGCAGTCATGACCCAGAATTAAAGCGAGAGAGCACTTGTACACGAGCGTGAAGAGATAATGATACGATACAGTATTTTCTTCATCCCGCGAAGAGGAGATAGTAATAAAAACGATAAAAAGAGCGAATGTTTATCGGCGAAAAAAGAGATACGACGCCGAATGGGAACGGTCTCTCGAGCGACTTACAATCCTTCATGAGTCACGACCGTACGTCGTCGTAATTTCTTTTGGACGTTGGTCCTGCTACGGTTTAATTAAACCAACCGAATCGGCTTCTCACCCCGATCGTTTATCACGATCGTGCATTTTCGACCACTCGGAGAGATTTTGGCTCCGCGATGGCGAATCTTACACCTGGAGGATTTGGGCCGTTGGCCAACAATATGTCGGTCGGGACCAAAATGGCGGCCAGAAATCGCGCGATGAATCGCCTTCCTTTCATGACCATTTACGTTACATGGAGAGGAGCTTTGCCACGTCATACTCGGGGAAAGATACGTTCATATATGGTCAGAGAGTTTTAAATAAAAGGCCTTGACGCCAAAAGATATTCTTTACGTAATGTGGTACTTAATTTCCGATATAGAATCTATTTCCCTATGTAAAATTGTCTTCATCCCACTCGAGGAATCTATTTTCAAATTTGATGTTTCCTTTTCTTTCATTACGTGTACGTAGATTTCTCTCAGTGGGTCAGGGACGAATTGACATTCGATACGGTCGACAGCTGTCTGTTAATATTTGTTGTGGCTTAAAATAATTTTAAGGCGAGGATCCTTAATTATCGGAGTTGGAAGAGCCGGTGCGGCAAAGGTGACTGCAGTTTGTTTCTAGTTCATTGAGAGTTAGGCTAATTCTTCTCAATGACTCGGAAGTGAACCGATGTATACGAGGTCAAAGGTCTGTTAATATTTCACTACCGGCATTACTCCTGCACATGAGGTCAAGAAACACATAAGGTGAAAGACCTTTCGTCGAAACAGGAGCACTGTCTGTTCATGGGCGGAAAAGGGGTTAGTCTAGAAAAATGCATCTATGCGCAGCTGCGTGCAGCAGATTCATAAAATACATCCCAGGTTTCTGATTTCTTTGCGGCGGTTAAAGCGTTTAGAACTATTTCAGTAAGTCGTTGTCTCCTTTTAACTAAAAAATTCTATCCTATCACTAAATAGAAATCAGTGGAATTTCCCGAAATATGATTCCTTAATCCTACATTTCTAATAATTAATCACTGTTCTTAAAATAAAGTGGCACGAATCTGAAAGTTAACCGATTTTGTAACACGTATGAATTTTTAAAATCGAACGTCGGGCAATAAAATCGAATTGCAGGGGTTCGAGTAAAACTACATAAAATTGATTTCATCGCGAATATCGATACGCGCGGAGAAAATTGCAGGTGCAGCTGCGCATACTTGCACAGACTGCATGTACTCCCAGCATACGTGCTTCGGCACGACATGATACCATATTTTCAGTTACCTCCGTGCCCTACATATTTCCCGATTTATCTTCCAGATACATCTCGGACCCTGCAATCGTTCATCATATCCAATTTCATTTACAGACTTCCGAGCTTTTAATTATTACGAGCCGACCATTCAGAGGCTTGGAAATTAGATACGTGAAGGCGGCGAAAGCAAGAAAATGCATCAACTGCTCCCACTTTGCAGTCTAAACGAACTCATTTCCGGTTTCCCATAGAAATTAAATCTCCAGCTCGTAAACCTACATGTCGGTGAGCATTAGAGTATAAGTTTAACAGATCGTTTTAGCGCTGGTGCCAGTTACCGCTAAAAAGGGAAATAAATTATGAGGGCCGTTACATATGATACAATATTTCTCACATTATAACATATAAAATTGGGCTCGTCGCGGAAGATATCTAAATAAATCGTTAATGATTTTAAGCAAAGGACACGAAGAAATAACAAGAGTAAACAAATTATCCCATGAGTCACTGGACTCATCCCATATTTTACAGCGTTGGCCCTTTTTCAATTAACCTTTCAACGCCTCCAAAAAATATATCTCGATCATAAAGACATATTTGACTGCTAATTGAAGCAGTTACAACGACATCATGATTTTTTCAATAATTCCTTCCTCGTTCGCTAACCTCTATCGGTATCTCGCATCTTTCCTATCGCCTTTAGAATTCACTCGGTGAGCTATTCGGGATAACCCATTCACTGCCAGCTGCGAGATATCTCGTAGTAAGCGTATGTATTAAGATAGCCCCTAAATTATCCTGGCAGGGAAGGGGTTAAGCTTCGTAACTACCCTCGTGAAAGATTTCAAGATTCGTAGAGAACGACTAGAAACGAATTCTTATCGGCACGAGCACCTGTCAGGTGTCTTATCCCAGTGGGGGTACTTTCCGCCAATTGGAACACCCCACACGTACCCCTCCCTAGGCCACCCCCCACCCCTATCCATTCATGCTCCATCGATGTTCCCATTCAAGTTACAATCTCCGAATGAGTATCGAATAGTGACAGCTATCTACACGAAGGGATCAAAAACATCTAAATGAAACAAAAATGAATCCTCAACGGATTAGAAACTTGCGATCACGGGGAACCTCATCGTGGCGCGTCTAGGATCGAATGGAACACTCCATCCCCGATTCTCCCCCGACCCACCCCTAACTCTTCGCTTACGTCCTCTCTCGAAACGCATTTCAACGGACATTACGCGGTAACGAGCCCCGACCGTAGATATTTCCGTAGCGAGCTCTAGTCTCGCAACATCCGAGAACTTTCCCCGAAGAGCGGGCAAGGACTCTTTCTCTCGACGGAAGGAAGCATGCCGATACACTCACCACGGCTTGGACACCCTGTAGATACCCCGGGGCGGCGAGGACGGCGCAGGCGCCGAGGACCCCGAGGAGGGTTGGCAGGCCTGCGGGTCGGCCCCCTTGGCCGGGCATGTCCCTGGGGCCCCGGGTCACCTGGGCGGTAGGCTGGGGCGGTGCGCGCTCGCCTCGGGGGTGGCTCGCGACGGTCGGTGCGGTGGCCGCGCGTACTGGGCCGCTGGGTGGCGCGGCTCGGCTGCCGAGACTTGGAGCCGAGGCGAGGGTCCCACTGTCGGAGTCGCGGGCGCAGTGGCTGGCCGCGACCGGCGGCGGCCCGCTCGCTCGGTCTCGCTCGCTCTCGCGCGCCCCCCCGCGGCCGGGCGCGCGCTCCGTCTCCGTCGGGCCCGGAGCGGCGCGGCGCTTGATATCCTTGCGCGCGCGCTCCCTCGCCTCCTGGGCCGCGCAGCAGTCGCGGGGCGACGCGCGACCGGAGGAGGCCGCGCGCTCGGGGGCCGCGCTCGGGCCTGGGGCGGGGGGTGGGAGGTCGGGTGGACCGCGCGCGGCCCGCTCGGGAAGGGAGGAGGAAGAGGAAGAACCGCGGCCGAAGGACCGCGGAGGAATTCTAGCTGGCGTGGCTCGCCGCCGCCACCGCCGCCGCCGCCACAGCCGCCGCCGCCGCCTCCACCTTCCCTCCTTCGCGTTCATTCATTTCCCTCCCTGGATGGGACGGTCCACGCACGTCCCGAGGAAGGTGCCGGTGCCGCCCGATACTTTCTGCTTGCCCGTTAGCCCGGAGGCCCCGAGCTGAGAGCTCGGATACTCTCCCGAGCGCTCCGGCCCGACCGACATGAACCGAGAGGGATTGCGGTGAGTACGCTCCTCCGAACTTCGCTCTCTCTCGCTCTCTCTCTTTCTCTCTCACTCATTCTCTCTCTCTCTCACTCCCGCGAGGTCTCGCGAGATCTCGTTCGAGCTCTCTCGAGCTCGTTCGCTTCTAAGTCCGAGGGGGATTCCGCCGACCCTTCGCCGACTCCACCTGCTGATGTCCCACCTTTCGCGGAACCGCGGGATTCTGAGGAAAACCGAGCCACCTCCACCCACCCTCCCTCTCCCACTCCGGCCCCCGCGGACCGCCACCCCTGGAGAACGCCGACCCACCCCTTGGAAACCTGCCCCCGGGTTTCGCCACGTTCTGAGGGGGTACTCGGAGAGAGGGCTTTTTTTCGACTTTTGGCGAGGAATCTCTGGATCGGCCGGGAAGTACTTCGGGACTGCGGAAGACCGGAGGAATCGGTGCTCGTGATCGAGAGTTTTCCTAAAGGATGTGTTTGATATCGCGAAAAATTCATATTAGCGAATGTCGTCGTTCGTGGTCCTCTGCTAAGGGGTTCGATCAACTACTTCGAGGTGCAGATCGCGTCGTCACGTTTCTGCTTGTCCTGTATTCGGAAACTAGTGGGAACGGTACTTGGAGCTAAAGTCTTAGTTCGACTTAACTGTAGGAGATTATGTGCTTTTATTTCAACGATGTGCTTATTTACTGCTTTTCCGCGACTTGTTCATCGTTTATGGGAAGAGGCTTTGGCAACCCCTTTGAAGAATTCCGAGTTTGAGCTGTATCGGTCCGAGATATCTAGAAGGCTTTTTCATGGATTTTGGAAAATGATGTTTTAGAAATGTGCAAATAACTAGTGCAGTGAAAATTCTGGCTTAAGCCGAGATGTAACTTTGAACCCGTCGCGTCTGGATTCCGAAGAAGTCTCTGTCACGGGTGAGAGCCTGGCGCGGAGACTTCAACGCTGCGCCGTGCTTTCTTTTCATTTATTTGTTATTAAATAATTGAGTTACCGCTGAGAGAAGAGATCAGTGTTTATGTGTTTGAGGAAGTAAAGAATCGGCTGTGTGCGTTTACTGCAGCTTCATTTTTTGTCCGAGATAGCAGATTCTCTATTTTCACGGGTTTCTCTTTTACCTCTAAAACATGACGTTTGGTAGATTTAATTTTTTTTTTGGATTTCGGGAATTATTTCAAAGTTATTGATCGTAGTTTGGGACGTTTTAATCTCCTCCGATTCACCCTGTGATTTTTTGTTTAACTTTTCGAGTGTTTTTACGTACTTCGGTAAATAAAAAGATAATTTCATATTTTGGGAATGATTTAAATGCCAATCCTGACTGCCGTCTTTACGATCGATCTGTGCTCCGCGATGTCACTTATTCTGTATGCTTCTTGATACTTTTGTTTTGCAAAATAGAGCTCGTTAATCACTGTCGGATTTCACGGAATCGTTGATTAAAAAGCGATTTCTTGCCGTCCCTTGTAAGCACAATTTGATGCCTGTTAATAGAAAATGGTTCTGATAATTTGAGATATTTTCGAAATTTCTAAATTTCGAGGAATACCTACTATTTTTCGATTTGATAGTAATCGATATTGCGATTGATAGTAGCGCTATTGCCTTGATAGCAGGCAATATTGTTTTGGGTTTTAAAAAATACTCGAATGCGCCACATCCGCGATGGACGGATGGCGCGTAACCAGGGGGGGGTGGGGGCATTTGCATACTGCATGGGCGGCAAGGATAAGATAGAGGAGGCGGATGGAACGCTTGTGACAAAACGTTTCAAGCTTCCTGATAGATCCCTTTCCTTGCTCATCGTGGCGATTTTCGGATTTCCTGAGGCTGGGAAAAATGATTATGCTTTTTAATGAAATGCGAATCTTTGCGAGGAGTCTGCGATGGAGCAGCCGGTGACGCAATCTGCGACCTCAGGCCCTCGTTGCGCGAAGAGGCAATCGCGAATTATGTCGACATTGCAACACTCGCAGTTGGCGATTTAATTTTGAAGCGTGATCGATCACCAAGACCAGGATCGATTTTTAAAACACAAGCCGATGCGCTTAATTATTTTAACCTGAAGAGATATGTATATTTTTCAACATTTAAGCCCTTTATGGAATAATGCCTAATTATTTTAGGCAGTTGGTACATTAATTAATAATGGGATATTTTGGTTCCTCTTCAAGATAAATATAGATAAACAAAGTAGATGTAAATTCTGTCTTAGAGATGCGGTTTTAAATGTACATCGAGGTTTTGTAACTCAGGGTATTGGGTTTCTCCAGCGAAATATCGTTATTCTTCATAACTAATTCCAGTTGAGAATATTTATGAAATAATATATTTACAGGTATGTTTTGTTCACAGGTTCTTCGGAGCCGCAATCTGCTTGGTAGCGGTCGTCTCAGGGGTACGTAAGAACATTTTACTAAGGGTTTCATTTTTGTAGTGTCCCAATTAGGGTAGAATTTCCGATGATGTTAACTACAAATAATGAAATTAATTAGTCTTCTGCATCAATTGTATATTTCTTACGTCCGGCAATAAGTCAAGCAGCCTTGCACTGTTTTCACGGAGACTCGCTACGATGATCAATAGGCCCTGCGATCGGTCAATCTCAAATTTCAACTAAAGTTCAGTTTCAAGTAGGATGGTAGGATGGTGCGGTAGTGGTTCCGCGTGTTAATGCCATTTCCGCGGCCCTTCAAAGGACGAGAAGATCGACTTTCGAAAATTACCGGCATGCCGTTCACAGAAGGTTTTGGGTTACACATAAACCGCACAGCACCCCGCTGCACGCGTTGTTCCAGCTGCATTGTGCATCCACGTGTCTTGGGTGGGCGGAGCTGTTAGCGTTTTGCTCCTTTTTCAAATCCCAGATTTAATTTAGGGCAGGGTCCAAGCGGTACTTAACCACTTTGCGAGGCGAGAAATGTAGTTGCGTGCCTTCCCTTTTCTATTTCTTTTTCCTTTATTGGAGCTCCTTGAACCTTACAAAGGGCTCAAGAAATTAATTTTGAAGAGTCACCCCTTCAGATTGGTATCAGATTTCCTTGAATTACGAGAGGGGTTAAAAGTAGACTTAACGAAGTCTATATGCTTTATGTTTGTATTCTGTTTTTTTTTTTCAATGTGCAAAGACGATTTATAAACGTGATTCATGTAGATTCATTGTTTTCAGAAGGAATCTAAATATATACTCTACGTTTCAACAATTCTCTTCTTTAAATTTCTTCCACAACGTTCAAGTGATCGTGCCGCGTCTGGTTGCAATTGTCCTTTCATTCGTACCCTCTGTGAATGAACCGCCGACCTTATCGGCATTGCTTGTCTCTTGATTTTTGTCCTTTCAATCATTCCTCGAAATCCGCCCATTGAATAATCACCACTGAAGTCATTCAAGGTTTCATTAGCCGGTTTCCCTGAATCGGTTAATTTACGGAATGGATTTTTCAAAAACGCTGAACAACCGCTCAAAATATACATTTCTTCATAATGGAATTACCTATACAACTTTTTAAGGAATAATCGAATCCTCCAGTCCAAGTTCAGGGACGCATAAGTGCATTGTCTCATACTTTAGATATCCAAAGCGACTTTATCGTAAAATTATTCTAGACTGGAAACGTAATTTTATACGGCAGACGTACATAATTATTATACATTAAAACAAAACACTCATATTATGTGGACTCTTTTCGTCCAGTCTGTCTATATGGAAAGGGTTAATCACTGCACCGAGACGTCAGTTCGCATTTACTCGTTCATTCATCCCGAGCAGTTTACTTTACAGTTCGCCGCCGACTTGACTGCAAGTCAAGTCGACGCTGCACCTGCACACACGTGTCACATGCAGGCGTGCAGATTTCCGTGCAGTTCTTAGCTGCATACGTGCAACGGTACGAATACGCAGTCGCGAGTCGTTTTCTTTTTCCCGCTGCATATCAAACCCGAGCACTTTATTCAAGAGTTGCATTCCGGTATCGGGGTTGCTCGATAAGCTTCATGTTTGTACAATACTTATACGAACAAGAGAAAGCCTCGATTATTTTACGCTTTCTATACCAGGAATTCGCATCTGCGAGATGTCGCGCTTCATTATGGCGGGAGGGATGCTGAGGAAACGAGTATCACACATGAGAGGTTATGTACAAGCGGCGTTAATCAAATTTTGCAGTCAGGATTATAAACTGGAAATTGTTAAAGGATGCGTGAGGTGGTTCTTCGTTTTCTTCTTTTTTCACGGAATGTAGATTATACGGGGTTAATCTGTTTTATTATAAACACGGGGAACGCTCGATTCAGCCAGTGGGGATTTCTTTTCTGTTATTTATTGCGAATGTTTACTTTAAGCGTTTATACGGTTCCGAGAAATCTTTTTGTAGGTACAGGGGCTTCTACCAAGAAGCGTAGATTCTCAGCTTGCAGCATGCGTTCGCCACATGTGCGCATGAGAACATTGGATTTCATGTGTATTGAAGGTCTCGGTGCATATTATTGTTTAGTGCTAAAGAACTTGGTCTATCTTTAAAGTAACATTTTACATATAAAATGTTTACACTTTACATATGATTTGTAATAATTAGAGGGTAAGATAGAGGATTTGTAATCAAGCTGCATATTAATTGTTGAAGTGATTGTGACTATCTTTTACATATTTCAGATGAAAGTAGTCTGTGAATTATTTGTGATGCTTTTGTCAGTGCCAGTATTTCAGAATGCAAGCATATTTTTTCCCTTTTGGGCTGTATTAACGCTTCGGATTAGGGTTGCAACTGTAAAAAGTGTCCAGATTTGTTATACCGTGGAATGTAAAATTCTCTGCCGTTTCATTGCCACCTTTTTGACAATCGGGACGAGGATGTGAATTTTCGAAGGATTTGTCACATGCTATCCAAAAGTCTCGTGATAAAATTGACAGACCAATTCCATATGTGACGGACCAGTCCGCCCACATTCGGTGCAACCGTTTCTCTTGTAACTTTATTACGTCAGATGTATGCAATGACTCCGGCGAGCTGCTGGAAATAGTTTGGAACCAGGCTGGACCGCTCAAGATCCGGCCGTTCCTTCCGACATAAGCTCCGCGGCTTATTTTTCGAAATAGATATTCGACTTAGCTCTTTTCGTGCGGGAAAAGTGGACCAGCGAGCCAAACCGACTTTCGAAATTTTCCTTAGATTTTCCTTAACACAAGATAATATAGATCTGTCATAAAAAATTCTTCTAGTATAAAAAAAAGGGTTTCCTCGGTATCTCTGGATAGGTTAATTTAATATTAAATTAATGTTATTAAAAGAATCTTAATATTGTCAGAGTGGATTTTTTTGTTGGGTCAAGTACTTCCGGTTTTTCGTAAAATTTATTTAATTTTTCAAAAACGTATATGTACTCTTTAGTTTTTATATGACAAAGTGGATGGCCTTGTGATACAATGTTTACAATGCCTCTTAAATCTCTCAACTCAGAGTGCTCTATGCGGCTCTTTTTGTACTCTACTTATTTAACGCCTCCGGTTTTTCGGGGGTATCGGATTTCGGTAATCCGAGAGTTGACTACCGCTCTATAAAGAGTCGAATTAAAATAGAGATCCCAAATCTGCTTCCGACTATAATTTTTCCTTGACATCCAGCGGACCTAGTTTAAATGGCAATAAAAATGAACCGTCAACCATGCATTCTCCTGTGTCAAGTAACCGTTTCGCTATCGTATTTTATTTAAATGAAAAATGTTTTTCTATTTTAACAATGTACGATATATTTTAGGTAACACTTTCTCGAATAATTTATAAATCGTTAACGAATAATTTTTAATTATCATGTCTATGCAGTAGCTGGTTTTACATTACGCATCTTATGACACATGGCTTTTCAAAAGTATTGCAAACAATTTTTGTCGAGCAGAACGTGAAAAAAATAATAACTAATTTTAAAAATTGTATTCGATGGAGAAAAATTCGGCCATAAGAGACATCACTGATGATTCAGTACTTGCGAGTCATTGTACGTAACGAGTCAATGTTCTAATATATGTCTGGAGTCAATGCCGATGTCAGCGCCTGATGTAAGAATCAATGTGGTAGTTTCCTGCTTCGGTAATGCATTACATAAAAATACAGTTGGTGCAAAACTTGTTCCACGTGTTATCACGTATACCTTTTGTATAGAACAATTTTTATATTTTGAGACATTATTTAAAAAATGCATGGTTTCCCCGAAATCAACGGTGTTACCGAGATCCACTGATACGGATAGTCTCCATCAATCTAAAAATGTCGAAAGTGTAAAAACTGCAATTATTCCAAATTCCTCCGGATTTTGTAGGGGTTTGCGGACTACTGGTGACCCAGTATTTGCAATCCCCTTTACGTAACGAATTAGCGTGCTGCGTTATGGGCAGAGTTAACGCCAACGTCGGCGTCTGCCTCAAGTGGGTTGTGATGGAGACCAAAGTGACGAGGAAGGGGAGGAAGAACGAGCGAGAGAGATAACGCGATAGCGCGGAAGTGCGGAGCGCGGGAGGGAAAGAGAGGGGAAAAACAGAGAAGAAGAAGAAGGTCCAGGCGACGAAAGAGGAGACACTAGCCAGTGGTCACAATACACGCCGGCGGCCCTCGAATTGCGTAATCTCGGTTTCACGAAGTGGCGGCCATGATGTCGATAAAAGGGACAATTCTTGAACCGTCGCGGGAAGATATCTCCTATCAGAAATAAGAAAATTAGGTTAACTTCGTTAAACGGACCTCTCCGTGTCGCCATCGGCGCCCAGTCGGTTCGACGCTTAATCTCAACTCGTCTAAATTCTCCCGATTTTTCTCCGCGGGTTTTGTCGCCGAGCTTACGAATTGTACAAATTGAAGAAGAAAAGGAAAAGGTTGGCAGGCATTTCAAAATTGCTCAGCCCCGTTTATTTCCATTTCCGAGGCACCCGAGCATGGCTTTGGTTTGTCGAGGCAATCAGCGTAAAATATTTTCATTTCCAGTCCGTCACTGTTCGATTAATCGCTTACACGGTAAGGATCAAGATCAAGATCAAGACTGGTCAAGTGTGACGAGTTCCGACGATTTGCATCGGAAGAGATCAATTTCGAGCAATCAGATCGGGTAACCGCTGCTCCCCCGGGATCCCCGGGATCGGCTCTCTCGCTCGCTCTCGTGGTTCCTATCTTCGTTTCTTCCTCCTCTCTCCGAGGTGGCTGGATCTTGCTTATTAAGGCATTGAACTGCTTTCACTGGCATCAGTCATAAGGCCGACAGATATGACATTCTGAAGGATGGCTGGCGGATAATTTATAGCTTGCCATTTTTAATGATCACCTCCGACTCGGTCGTTTCTATTAAATTGTGTAGTATGTTTACCGAGGTTTGTGATAAACTAACCACGCATTAAATTCGATAAATTAGCGTAAAGTGAAGCTTTCGATTTCGTATTTCAGGATTCCGTCCAGCCATTTTTATACCTATAAGATATAGATATTTATATAATTTCGCTTCTCATTTCCCCTCTATTTAATCAATGACTTCATTCTATATTCTACAGGTAGTAGGAGACAAAAAATTTAATTAGAAAATAACGTAAATCATAGTTTTTCACAAATTGCGCCATATTGTGCATCGAGTCGTGTCTGCATATCCAATTAATTTGTACATGCGCATTGCGTCTTCATTAAACGAGGATGACGCCACGGTTACAATTAGCAAGGCCGCATATTGCAGTTAACATCTCTCATTCCTCCCTATTGTACTCGAAGTAATAACTCTTGCTAGTGTGCGTACGAGTACAGTCGAATACGACGAACTTTCGAGTTATCATGAGTCCCAACTTTTCCGATGCGTATCGTATCGAATTATGTCCTGTTCCACATTCGAGTCCGTGCAATTACTCACGGTAGCTACTTACGCCGTGCATCATTCTCCGTTCACTTATGTCATCGACCAAGGCGAAGTGAATCTGACATAAAAATTCCTTTGACGATCGACGACCCCTAGACTATCACCCTTTTACGAGGTGTTCATTACTTAGAGGATAGTCTCGTATTTCCTTTCATATCGGACGCTAAGTCTCGGTGCATTGGAGATCGAATTATTCATACTCGAATCGGCTGATAATGACCTCTCAATTATCGAGATTATTCATTACACGTACCGCATTCTGTGAATCGGTCAATGAGTCAATGAGTCAATGATTGTTATATATTTGAGTCACTTGACAGCCTCCTGTAATCGGAGCATCTGCCTATTATTGTACGAATCTTATGAGAAGTAAATGATGTATTAAAAATGTTTCTAAATTTTCACGATGTAGCATGTAACATTGAGATTTTGTACTCGATGAACATTTGTCGCTCCCTGATAGGGAATTATATAAAAATTCGAATTTTTTGCACGTCGGTTATTGAGATCTTGAGATGACGTTGTTCTATTTTCGTTCGCGTTTAAGACGCTACCGTCGCAACGACCGTCGTTATTTCATATGATAACGGACCTCGTTATCACTTTGAACTTCCGTCGAAGATCGACTGTACAACTGGGAAACAGAAAGAAGCGATTGGAGGAATCGGACTATTGGGGTTACAAGGAATATTTAACATGACTAAATAATACAGAAAAGAGGTGTCTCCGTTGCCATTTTATTTCGCAGATTCTAAGTATCTAGAAAGAGAGAGACGAAAATATCTGCCATCTCGAAGGGGGAGTACAGCTTCTTTTCGCCGTAGTCGTCACTTTAATTTCGTACATGAGTCACTGTCTTTTATCTGCCGGAGTACAGTGGAAGTAGTGCTTTTTTTGTAGGTAGGGCTGTCACGAGAAAATATAGATTCATATTTTGGGAACTGGTCTGTTGATACTGAGTCAAGGGTCATGACCAGTGGTTCATGGAATTGACAAAGCAAGAGCGTACATATTTTCGTATAAAGTTGATGTCAAATGCGAGACGGTGAAGGCCAACCATTTATGGTGTCTTAAAATTTCCCAGAATAACATTCTGGATATCGACTTATTTCCGTCCCCCAGATGAATACTGAAATGATTAGAAATAGATAAGCGAAACGGGAATTTAACTCTTATATGATCATTTCTTACTTGTTCTCCACTTTTTCATTTATCTTTCCCAAAGGAACATCTAAAAGCTAATAACAAATTCTTCGATATTTTGTTGATTCAATTATTTAAAATGAATTCTGATTAATATTAAATCGTAATTCTGTACATTCGGAGGTTAATAAATGATTCAATTTTATACATTCGATAATATCAAAAAAAAACTTGGGACAATAAAATGACCTCTTTTCATGAATATTATCTCCGCTTGGTGCCAGACTTTTTTATTTCATATTTGTACTCGTTTCTGTGCATTTAGCAATACAATTTTACACGGGAAAGGCCACGACCGGTTGTTCACGTTAACTCCCGTGGTGACATCGAAAAACCTGAAGGTGTCGACGATGATACAGAGGCAAGATACGATAACGGTGCACCATCCTGGCCTGGATATGAGACTGATCGAGGTATACCTCAATTTTTTATTATTTCTTCATTTCATATCCCTAAAATATTCGCTGCATTAATCTGCCTTAACCCACATTGGTGTGATACGAAGGGTAATGCTATAATCAAGGCACGTGTCATTCCATTTTTGCGATTTTAATCGGCTTACTGTGAACGAACATTATTTCACAGCCATACGAATTTTAAACTCGTTATAATAACCGTATCATTTTTCACATTAATTTACTTTAACCCATGCTGCATCATGCAAAATAAAAAATGAAGGTTGTATGGTTCTATATTACAGTGAGCTTAGATCCACATGATACCGATCATACGTTAGCTACATTTTCGTCTCCATATTTCATACACGCATAATTATTTCACTGTCAGGATTTACTCCTCGATAATGACTGCATGCTTATAAACTTATTATCATGCATCTCATCATCACTCATCCAATTAACACATTTTAACGCATCCCTAGTTAAAATGATCAAGCAAAGGCGGAAGTATAGTAGAGTGTCTCATCCAGGGTATTCGGAGGAAGAAAGCGCCGTGAAACACGGTGACTCCTCCGGGAATTATCCCCTGGAACCTGGAGAGAATTATGGTGGTCAGGGTGCCTACGATCCATACAACAGAAATCGCGGTACTGGATATAATTACGAGACCGGCGGTCGCACCAATGACAATGGAAACGGTGATGTGTATAACAGAAACCGTGGTATCGGATATAATTATGAGACCGGTAGTCGCACCAATGACAGTGGAAACTACCCTAGTAGCTACTCGGCAGTACCAGCCCCTGGGGAACGTCGAAACTGCAAGGGTTCGGACTGCTGCGTGCCAAAATGTTTCGCGGAGAAAGGGTCTCGCGTAAGTATCGCGCTTAACAATTATCTTTATTCATAAAAAGTAAACGAAAACGTGTCCATTTTTTTGAGTCAATTACAATATTCCGCCGGAAAAAATTCTGGAGGAAGAAAGGATTTAGTATGAAAGCTACTCGGCTGAACTCGAAGGATCTCTCGGTTCATCAGCGTGATAAGTCGTGCAGGAACAGGAAGAAATATGAATTTATGGAACTTGTTATCAAAGTTTGTTGAATTATGTCTGGAAGTGATGGCCTGATTTAGCGTGATGTGTCTAGGGACCTCCCGGTATCGTCGGACCGCAAGGACCGAAGGGTCAACGTGGTTTCCCAGGAACCGAAGGACTTTTAGGGCCAAAAGGAGAAAAAGGAGACCCTGGACCGCAAGGACCACGAGGTTCTAAGGGAGACCGGGTAAGCTTTAATAAGTTCTTTTTATTTCAATCTGTTTTCAAGGATGCCAAAACGGAGGAATTCTCCTTCGAGCTTACATTATCCACCTTCACGAAGATTTTCATTTTTTAACGACCCTGCGTGATAAATATGTAATTGGCCATAGGAACTTGTATATTATTTAAAATCTTTAGGTACTTTTAAAGATAAATGTAATGTATTTTTAATTAAATTATAGGGTAAAATGGGAATGCCAGGATTTCCTGGTATCAACGGAATACCTGGAGTGCAAGGACCTTCGGGATCCCCTGGGCTTCCTGGCAGGGATGGTTGCAACGGTACCGATGTAAGTCAATGGTCATGGAGTAAGATTTGCATACAATTTAAATCGATATAAAGCGACTTGTGGCACTTGAATTTATTTTATTTTCCTATTGAACATTCACTAGGGGGCACGTCGTGCTAATGGAGTCCTTTCTGAGTATTAAATTAATTTTGCAGGGTGCTCCAGGTCGGCATGGACTTCCAGGAGAACCAGGACCACGAGGAGTTCCCGGAATACCTGGTTCCAAAGGTGACAAAGGACAACCGGCGTATGCTGGAGCGTTCACAGTTGGACAAAAGGGAGAGCCTGGAATAGACGGAGTTAGAGGTCCTCCTGGACCACCTGGACCTCAAGGAGACCGTGGTCGTCAAGGATTTAAGGGAGAACGCGGACCATACGTAAGTACATCTTCACGCCGGTACTTGATTATTTCGGAAACACACCGTGTACATAGTGACGATTTTTTTTATAGTATTGTGGAATACGTCGCGATAAGGATTTAAATTTGACAATTTGTACCCAAATGATTAGTTGCTCATCGCTAGTAGTACTGCATACCGTTTTTGTGTCGTCTGAAATGTTTCACGCGACTAACGATTTTGGAGTGAACCTCGAAGTTTAACCAGTGTCTTAATTTCGTTATTAATACCACAGTATTTAATTGTATGACCTTCATTTCAGGGAATACCGGGAGGCCCAGGGCCAAAAGGAGAGAAGGGTAACATGGGTGTGGGATTCGAAGGAATAAAAGGTGACAAAGGTCAGAAAGGAGAACTTGGACCACCGGGAATCTCAGCACCTCTTGTTCCTCTTACTGGATTCACCAAGATGATAGGAGCCACAGGAGAACCAGGTCCAAAGGGTGATAAGGTTTGTAGTTAATTGTATATTTAATCGATTAAAATATGGCCCAATCGATATAAAAAATTATTTAATCCTTAATTCTAGGGAGACATTGGACCGGACGGGATGAAGGGAGAACCTGGTCCACTAGGCGATCATGGAATCCCTGGAGGGTCAGGAATGAAGGGAGAGAAGGGTCTTCCTGGAGCCCCAGGAATTCGAGTATGTATATTTTGACTTATTATGTAGAAGAAGTGTATACTTATAATGGATTTCACCGAATTTGCGTGTTTAGGGAAGAGATGGGTTCTCTGGACCGCCAGGGCCACCGGGTCATAAAGGTGACCGAGGATATGATGGGCTAGATGGTCTTCCAGGGCATCCTGGTAGAAAAGGAGAATCTGGTCGCGATGGACCAATGGGAGTGCCCGGATTACGTGGTCCCGCTGGTCCACCTGGAGTAAGTAAATCCTTTTAATCTATTCATTTCGTACACGGCAATTTGGTCTGACCAAGATGTTACGTACTTAATTTAATCAGGGCAAAATACTGTAAATAGCAATTAGCCGCGTTCGATAGGCACTTTAAATGTCAAAAGAATTAACCCTGTACTTCGAATTTTGATAATTTTTATTTATGAATATTTGAAATTATTTTAGGGAGGAAAAGGAACTCCGGGACCACCGGGACCAAAGGGACCGCGAGGTTTCCCAGGACCAGTTGGACCTCGAGGGACGGATGGTTATCCAGGAGATCCGGGACCAAGAGGGCCTATCGGTCCTCAAGGAGGTTCAGGACAACCTGGTATTCCAGGTCCCGAGGGACTTCCTGGAGATAAGGGATCGAAAGGTGAACCAGGTCTTACAGGATTCCCAGGAGAAGCAGGTCCGCGTGGTTTCGATGGTCCTCCAGGTCCAGTTGGACCTCGTGGCCCAATGGGAGAAAAAGGAATGTCCATTGTGGTGAGTGTCCACTTATAATTATTTGAAGAAGTAATTTTCTAGGTAAATATATATTTAAATAATCCTATTAAATTTAGGGTCCCAAAGGAATGGATGGGTTACCAGGAGTCGACGGAGAGAAGGGACAAAAAGGAGAAAGAGGTTACGCGGGAGTACGAGGACGTCCCGGTGATTCTTTGAACGGGATACCAGGAGCTCCTGGGGCTCCGGGTCTTCCTGGTGAACCTGGAATTGCTGGACGTGACGGGTCACCAGGATTCCCAGGAATGCCCGGTGAAAAGGGAGAGATAGGAGGCCGGTGTCAAGATTGCTTGCCAGGAACACGAGGGGCTAAAGGAGATCGTGGATTGGACGGAAGTCCAGGTCTTCCGGGACCTCGAGGTCCTCCCGGAGAACGAGGTTTCCCTGGAGAAGCAGGTGCCGATGGTCTTCCAGGCCCTATTGGGCCACCAGGACCTGCAGTGAGTCCTTCATAACAGAATCTGCGGTTTGATTATGACAATGTAAATAATTTATTCGCATAATAGACTGATCATTCTACCTTATTGATACTTTAGGGCAGAGATGGCGTCGAAGGAAGCGCAGGTCCTCCAGGAGAAGACGGAGTTCCCGCAATTATACCAGAAAGTTTACTTAAACAAGAAAAAGGTGACAAGGGAGTTCGAGGAGAATCTGGGCGGCAGGGACCACCGGGTCCTCTAGGACCTCAAGGAGAGAAAGGCATGAGAGGGTTAGGTGGTTTCCCAGGACCAAAAGGAACGCCTGTAAGCATTTACAATTTTTCGAAGATCTTTTCGGTTGGATCCACATCACTTATTCTGACCATTACAGGGTGATCGCGGTTTCCCAGGACAAGATGGTACTCCTGGAAGGCCTGGAACTCCTGGACGTAAAGGAGAAAAAGGATTGAGCATAAAAGGACATGCTGGAGAACCAGGGCTTCCAGGATATCCTGGCCCGAAAGGAGAACCAGGATTATATGGTCTGAAGGGAGAACCGGGTAGGTCTTCGCTATCTGTATTTCAACTGACTCTTATTACTTCACGAGAAGGCTTCGTAGATTAATTTCTTTTCCCGATATGATATTCAGGGCAGTGTCCACCATTAAACCTCGAAAAAGGATTCAAAGGCGACAGAGGAACTCCTGGAGAGAAAGGTGAACCTGGTCCTCCTGGAAGGGATGGAATACCAGGAGACAAAGGTGTTCAAGGTTTCACCGTAAGTGCTATTTTCAAATTACAATTAATTAATACATAGAAATTAATCAGGTTATACGCTACAGATAAAATGAGATATTTATGCTGCTATTATTAATTTTTTATTTCAGGGCCCGGCTGGCCCAGTTGGCGCAATCGGACCCCCAGGTCCTGTGGGACCTAGAGGATCGCCTGGACCTAGAGGAGATAAGGGAAATATGGGTCCTATGGGATTCCCAGGAGAGCCAGGACGTGAAGGACCCAGAGGATTCCCTGGTGCTGCCGCTCCGAAGGGAGTCAAGGGAGAGGCAGGAATATCCGTCCAGGGTAGTCCAGGACTGACAGGACCTCCGGGCGAGAGGGGAGAAAAAGGCTTGCCTGGTCCTCCGGGTAAAGATGGACCTGTTGGATTCCCAGGATTGCCTGGTTTCACTGGAGAAAAGGGAGACGTCGGGATTCCAGGATTGAACGGACTTCCGGGTGCACCGGGACAGAAAGGAGATACAGGACCTCTGGGTCCTCCAGGTCCTTCAGGAATTCCTGGAACTCCTGGAGTCGATGGTCGCAAAGGTACCCTATGATTACATTACCTTTTAATTTTTACTTGGTACAATTAATATTTATTTATTAAAATATACCGTGTAAGGAGTTTCGGGAAAGGGTAAAAAAGGTCCTGAATATTTATACCGTGAAATAATTTTGGACCGTTTAGTTCTGAGATCTGTTATTAAGTAAACTGGAATTAGTAAATATATTTGATTAATGTTTATCATAAGATTGATTTTGAAAATATGTAAACGCAATGTACTGATATTACATAATCAAATAATGTACAGGTGAACCAGGACTGCCGGGAGAACCTGGCAGAGCTGGGCTACCCGGCTTCCCAGGAGTTAAAGGAGACCGAGGTGAGCCTGGAATCGACGGTCCCAAAGGATATCCCGGAAGACGAGGAATCCCTGGGGCTGCTGGTCGACCTGGAGTGGAAGGATTGACAGGATTAAAAGGAGAGAGAGGCGAGAAAGGTGCTCCAGGATTCCCTGGTCTGCCAGGAATGGAAGGAAAACCAGGCCTACCCGGACCTGTTGGTCCGAAAGGAGATACCGGTCCGGAAGGTGCACCAGGATTGGTAGGACCCATCGGTTTTGAAGGCGTTAAGGGAGATCGTGGTCCACAGGGACTTCCGGTAAGTAATTTTGAGTACAATTTGTTTTTTCACATAACGAGCAGAAAAGTTGTCGATACAGCTACGGTAACCACCTTTTATTAATTTTTTTAGGGCAGGAAAGGAGAGGCAGGACGAGCATCAGAGAAGGGTCAAAAGGGAGAACCGGGAATGCCCGGAATTCGCGGTCCCCCAGGACCTGCCGGAAGAGATGGTATTGACGGATTAAAGGGTGAAGCCGGTAGACCTGGAATTGGACGCGATGGGCATCCGGGAATGAAGGGAGAAGCAGGACGACCGGGACGAGATGGACTTCCGGGATTACAAGGACCAAAAGGCGACCAGGGAGTTCGAGGATTCCCAGGCCTCAAAGGAGATGTCGTAAGAAATAATTGTTATAACTTCCTTTCTCAACAGAAAAATGAAAATGTGAAAGAGTCATTGGATGGTTTGTGAATTTTTAAGGGACCTGTTGGATCTTACGGAGAACCAGGAAAGCCCGGACTTGATGGTATTCCTGGGTTAGATGGCGATGTAGGGCCTCAAGGACCTCCTGGTTTCCCTGGTCCCGATGGTGACAGAGGATCTCCTGGAATACCCGGATTCGATGGAGCTAAGGGAGAACGCGGACTTGCTGGTATTTGTTTCGTCATTCAACGGTTCCTCCAATATGAAGGATATTTAAACTGATTGAATTGTTTCTAAAAAAAAATTTTTCAGGCGAGGTTGGTCTTCCTGGATTTTCTGGGGCACCTGGAGACAAAGGAGATCGTGGTCCTCCGGGATTGACAGTTAACGTTAAAGGCGAGAAGGGAGAACCAGGGTCTCCAGGATTCCCTGGACTGGACGGCGAGAAAGGTGACAGAGGACTACTAGGACGACCTGGATTGGAAGGAGAGAAAGGAGACAGAGGTTTAATGGGAGTACCTGGTAGCCCTGGAATACCTGGTCTACCAGGACCGAAGGGTTCGTTTTAAAAATACATTTTTCCGATTCCCATTCTAATAATAATTTGATTGCAATGTATTATACAAATGGTTCATTGAAATTAGGCGATAGAGGTCCCGCTGGTCCTCCTGGACTTCCTGGCTTAACCACCAAAGGAGAGAAGGGTCTTCCTGGACTCATGGGAAAACATGGTCGCGATGGGTTATCTGGTCTCCCAGGGGAGAAAGGTGAGACAGGATTCCCTGGACTTCCTGGACATAAGGGAGACCGAGGACTTTACGGACCACCTGGACCTCCTGGAGAAAAGGGAGACACGGGCCCTCCAGGTCTCTTAGGAGCTCCAGGACGCGATGGACCTCCAGGCTTTGATGGACCTCCAGGCTTGCCAGGAGAAATAGGACCAAAGGGAGATCAAGGTCCTCCTGGGCTCTTCGGTGCGCCAGGAGAGAAAGGAGATCGCGGTCTGACCGGTAAGCTCCCTTTTGTGATACTTTTATTCCGAGATGTGTTTCAGAAAGCAATAAATGTAATTGTAATTGTGTATCTATAATTACATTTATCTCATCCCAACGTCATAATATAAATTGAAAGACGTTTGAGTAATATCACACTAAATCCATTATTCTTGTCTAGGTCCCAGAGGATTAGACGGAATTCCCGGAGAAAAGGGTGATCGAGGTTGGAATGGAATAGACGGCGTTCCAGGGTCACCGGGAGAGAAGGGTGACTCGGGGTATTCTGGACCTCCAGGACTTACAGGACCTGTAGGCTATCCAGGACTGAAGGGAGAAAAGGGTGAAGATTGTCTCGAACCACAAAGAGGATCTAAGGGAGATAGAGGACTTCCGGGTAAGTCAAATTTTCATACTTTTGTGATCAACCATTCCCCATTCGTCCTACTTCACGCGTAGGATAACGCAATTAAATTACATTACTTACCAGTGGATGAGTACATCGATCTTAGTTCTTAGTTGTTGAAATATGTTAAATTACGTGTTTCTTTTTTCGCAATAGGACCGGTTGGACCAGCGGGTCCTCCCGGAGAGAAGGGACCGTCTGGACCTGCAGGATTCCCAGGATTGGATGGACCGAAGGGTGCTCAAGGATACAACGGACCTCCTGGTCCCTCGGGATTGCCGGGATTGGCGGGACCGCCCGGTGCCCCTGGACTGCCGGGGCTTCAGGGTCCAGCGGGTCTGTCGGGTCCCCCGGGAGAACCAGGAGCGCCCTGCGAATCGGCTGCTGATTATCTCACGGGTATCCTCCTGGTCAGGCATAGTCAGAGCCAAAGTGTTCCCGTCTGTGAGCCAGGACACATCAAGCTATGGGAAGGATACAGTCTCCTCTACACCGATGGGGACGAAAGAGCACACTCTCAGGACTTAGGTGAGATCATAGCCCTTGTCGTTATTGGCGATCATTACGCTCTCATGTCACAAAAAACGTTATTATCTAAATACGTTATTTATTTCCACAATCCTGCTACCTCGAGAGAACAACCTAAATTATTTGAATCCCTTTTGATTTTGCAACATGAAACCACCCAAACCTCCATTTTAATAGCCTACGTTCGCTTTCAAGTTAAATATTCCTAGTAATAATTGTTCGCAAAGTGAGATTCCAGTTAGTTCCTTTTGGTCATGTAATAACTAAGTATCGTCATTTGAATCATAGATATTTTGAGGCCATAAAAGTTGCAGTAGACCAAAACATAAGTTCAAACAATGAGTCTTTCAAAATCTTCCCAGGATCCTCCTGCGGAGTCCCTCGGTGCAGTAGGCTATCGAATTTGATCAGGAGACTTTTTCCTTATATCTCCTCCTCGTCGATAAATAACATCGTCGATACCGTAATCAGGTTTCACCTAGAGATTTTAATTATACAACTGCGCAACGCATTGCCAATGAACATCTAGAATTTGAAGTCTGGATGTACATTGGAGGTCGGATCTGTGTCCATTCTCGTCTTTCGCACGTATAGCCTCCGGGGAGGGTTGTGTGCGTTCTCTCGAACAGGGTTGGGTTAGGTTAGTGGTGGGACGCGGAGGGCTCGGCGCGTTTCTATTTGATTTCTTTTAAATCCGACTCGTCCTATAAATTTAATCGGAACAGGTTATGCCGGCTCGTGCGTAAGAAAGTTCTCGACGATGCCCTTCCTATTCTGCGACGTCAACAACGTCTGCCACTACGCCAGCCGCAACGACCGCTCTTATTGGCTGTCGACCAACAGTCCCATCCCGATGATGCCGGTCGAGGAATCAGCGATCGAGGAGTATATCTCCAGGTAGTGTGGAATTCCGAGGGAATTTCAGAGCCCGCCATTTGCTTCTGCTTGAAATAGTGGACTTTTGTTGAAATTTAATTCCCGATCAAATCGTTTCGGATCGCTAGTATTTGACCTTATGAAAAAATGCACGTAGTATTTATTATTATCGCTTAACCCTCTGTAATCTGTTTTTTTTTCTTTTTTTATTTAAGCCAAAAATCGATATATCGGGAAATTTGCAAATCTTTACCTTCTGATGTCAACAGACTGCATGTTTATGAACGTGCGGTTTATGTACATTTTTTGACATTTACATTTTGATAAATTTACAATTTATCAACAAGTTCCGCGGTCGCAAAGGAGGGGTACAATGATAACGTGTTACGTTAGGTTTCGTCGGGTGACTTTAAGGTCACGTGGCGTTATAGAAGTCTAAATATTAATATTTCGAGGATTCATGGAAAGTTGTGTATGTATACATACGATCTGTGTCTAGGTACACGGTTTGGTGACTGAGGCATTCTTTATTCATTTTGGGCAAATGTTAGTGAACCTGTTTACATTTGTACGCGTCAGGGAAATTTGTAACTGAATAATCGGTAAATCATTTTGTTAATCGTTAATTTTTATTACCAGGTGCGTCGTTTGCGAGGTGCCGGCCAACGTGTTGGCGATTCATAGTCAGTCTTTAAGCATCCCAGAGTGTCCTGGAGGATGGTCTGGTCTTTGGATAGGATACAGTTTCGTAATGGTACGTATTGACGTCAGAAGCTTCCAGATGATGGGTAAAAGAAAAAATGAATGCAAACTGGAATCGCGTTCAGGGCAGAACTTAAAACAGTGATAAGGTATAGATGCAAAGAAGTTCAACACATCTCGTAAACTTCGAAAGAATACTACAGGAGTCAGTCCAGAATGGTTAAAAAAAAGTTAAGTTAAGTTAAAAAGATGTACAAATGAAGTTTTAGGGACCTGGTACAATTTTTTAAAAATAATATCGATATTATAGCTTCACTGCACTTTCAATTTCTAACTTTTTTTTTAACATATACACGAGTACATTAAAGCCGATAAGTCTGCGCTGAAACTTCTTATGCCACGGTAGGGTAAGTTCTCACGTTAAAAAATGGGAGCGTAACGAAAAATGAAACGCTTATGTTATTTGTTTAACAGTTAATTACTATTTATGTTCTTCTTTGCGTGTTAGCGTTGAAACAATTTGCGGAAACATGTTCATCGGTGTTAGCGGGTTATTCTCCCAGTTCATTATTGACATTTAAAATGATATAAGAATAAAAAGGAAGTTCTTCCTTCCAACGCGTGGCGGTCACGTATCCACTATCACATGAAATTAATACCGGCTTTTGGGACAGTCGTTAAGCTTTTCGCTTCGCTATATTTTATACGCGATGGTAAACATTTCGTCTTGTTTTCAGCACACGGGAGCCGGAGCCCAGGGCGGCGGGCAGTCCCTGTCGAGTCCTGGATCCTGCCTGGAAGACTTCCGGGCGACTCCGTTCATTGAGTGCAACGGCGCCAAGGGCCACTGCCATTACTACGCGAACGAGTTCAGCTTCTGGATGGCAACCATCGAGGACAGCCAGCAGTTCCAGAGGCCAGAGAAGCAGACCCTGAAGGCTGGAAACCTGAGGTCTAGAATAAGTCGCTGCCAAGTCTGTATAAAGAATACGTAAAGGCGACCGAGCGATCCGGCGACGCCGCGAAGCCGTCGTGATCGATCGACCTAACCAGGGACATCTACCCGAACGAAGGAAACCCGAGGAAAACCTAGACGAAGTCGAGGTAACCGACGAGGGGAGGGGGGAGGGACACCCGAGGTTTTCGAAAAAAAGGCATCTCCTCCTTTCGGTCCCTCGTTGATTCGACCTGGGCGAAATCGAGAGAGGAGTGGATGTTTCCTGACGATTTACCCCGGCTGCGCGTACTATCACGTTTCCCCTTCTTTAGGCGTTATTTCCTTCCGAAATTTACATTTTTTTCCTACTTTTTTTTTTCTTGTAATTTCTAACGTTTCCGGAGAACGAGGTAAAGTGGACCACGCGGGACGACCCTATATCCTAGTTTGCTAATTAATTAATTAGTTAATTTCACTTTGTTGCTTCCACCCCGTGGTGGTACATGGCCATGGTCAATGAAATCGTACGCGAGTACGGCTATTGAAGATACGAGATAAATGATATCGTACGAACGATAGGGCTTACCTCGTTTGATCCACTTTTCCCTCGTTAGCGACGGTTTCTCACGTTGCTCCCTCGCCGTAATCGGCTCTGCGAGTTCTGTCCACTTTTCTCACCGTTCTCCTTCCCTCTCTCCTTCCACTTTTTTACACCTCCCCAAGTGCCTAGCATACTGCCTAGTATGTAAAGTAATATATAATTTATATCGTAAATTTATATATGGAGCCTTAAGTTTATTTTATCGTACTACTCACGGACACTGCCCATATCCGATCTGGCCACATTCGCATATTGTATATTGATACGAACGATTCCTCTGGCCCGGAAATCGTGCGACGCCAAATATTTAATTATACATAATAGGTATTTTGCTACATAGCCAATAAAATGATGTTTCGAAGCGAGATCTTATGATCGACCCCCTCCTGGAGAGAATCGACCAATCCACGTGGTGATTTTGTTTAGCATAACTCGTTTGGCCAATTTCGATTCTAGGTGAGAAGTCGCGAGTTTTTGGCCATTCGAGATTTCGTGCTTTCCAGCTGCCAAGGCTCTTCTTCGATCTGCTGACTTTTCTGAGAGAAAAACCTCCAGGCTGCGAGCCGGAATGCAAATTTCCTTAGTGAGTCGGCATAAACCGGGGTAAACGTGTTGTTGTTTATTTGACTGTTTCATGTGGCGCCGAAGCGACGTTATTATGTATCTATTATGCGTACATAATCGTTGTTGAATTCTTTGCGAGTTACGATGAGCACAGAACAAGCGAATTAATACTTTACATTTGTTTCTTTTCTTCAATTGAAGGGAATCCGACCCTGCATATATTGGAATTTCAATGTCTTATCACGTCTGTAAGGTCGATGTGTACATATCCGTTCCGTGTCAGTTCAGTATCCGTTTTGACAGTTTCAGTGCGTGACTGTTTACACTTCGTTGACAGGTGTCCATGTTGCATATACGTCAAATAGTGTCAATTTTGTTATCACTGGAATCGATTTCACGAACCATGAAGATTCTCCTTTAGGCAAAAACCTCCTGTAATCGTCCTGCTTTTTGATTAATAGAAGTGAAGAGAAAGAAAGGCATTTCAAACTTACTTTTAATATTGTTCTTCAATTTTTTATATTATTTAATATCAGTTTGAATTATTTTAATTATTATTTTTAATGATTAAAAATATTTTGGTGAAACATGCTAACACAAAAGAAATGAAGGTGAGTGCTTTACGGTGGATATGCAATGTATCAGTAGCATTTTATTTTGTAGATTTGTACTGAATTGCATTGTGATTCACTGTACATTCAGACATTCCGAATGAAATCCATCAAATTGGTGGGTATTAGATTGAAATGTGTTGAGACATGTCCAGGTCGCCCATTCAGTCAAAATTCTACTGTCATCAATGATGTCGGAAAGACGGAGACTGAACGGATACTGACCTGATAGTACGGTCACTGAATGTTGTAAATGCTTTCATTAAAATTTATTAGATCCTGTTTCGGCCCCGTGCAGATGTTGCACGCTACAAATACAGAATTGATACTGAATGGATGTGCAGTCCATTTCGTCGCTAATGGAAAGCGTGGAAGAACTGAATTAATATTCCTTCATTTCTTACTTTCTCGGGAAAATGAATTTTTTGGTGCTCGTATATTTATTCTGATGTTTCATAGACATGCGAATAATCCCTTCGATTCATGTTCACGTTCGTAAATACTGGCTTGTGGCGAAACATCGTCGCAAAATGCGATATTTTGGAGTGAAGCCGCATATTCGATTCACTTTGACTCCACCTATTCAATTCTGTATAAAAATCTTGTTGCGGGGGCGTCAAATATGTTATTTATGGCGCGAAATCGCTCGTAAATTTTTGTAAGTGCAAAAACCGCTTGGCGGGCGCACGGAATTCGGTCCTGTTGGCGAATTGCAAAAACCTCGGGAAAAAGCGGCCAAGTGGTAAATTTCCCAACAAACGAATCACCGCCGCATTCCAGTTGGGTGCCATCCAACTCGAAACCATCCCCGCCGATCGCCTCCAGAATATTTTGCACAGTTTCCCACAGCCGATGGTTAAGATCCCCTCGAAAGGGGGTTAATTCGCCGCTTCACCCCCTTTTTTTTAACGTGTGAATTCAGTGCCAGAGCAGCCAAGGATTAATGGGGGCAATCGAATTAAATACCATCAATAATCCTACGAGCAACAAGTGTGTCATCGGTCCGCGAAAGAAACGAATGATTTAAAGGATCGGGGATTTTAAAAACAGGGAAATTGGAAATCTCAAGTTCTTGCGTCGATACGTATGACCATTTCTAAAGCATAGTTATAGGTGTGCTCGACTAGAATTAACATTTTTCAACGTGTATACATTCGCGGCATTTTCACTCAGGGTTTAGCATTGTTGTGGAAGTAGAAATCCACAATTATTTATATAAAAAAGACGTGGCAACGGCGGGAATCTTTCCATTTTAACGGTCTGGTTTGATAGCCTTATATAAGATCGTAAGAATCGTAATTCTTAAAATTCGCCAATTGGTTAGCGCCGTTAAAGTTAGAGTTAAGCGGGATAAATCTATGAGCGTTCAGTTAATGCGGCTAATCAGTTTAGTGGACGAGCTATTGAATATTCTAAATTAAAATCTGTAAGTCAGATCCAACAGGTGAGAGGCAAGGTAAGGGGGACCCGGAAAAAGAGAATCAAGGAACGCGAATATTGGCCCGTATGCATATGTATAGTGTCGGCTGCCAAATGTCAATGGAATAATCCGACAGATAGCCGAGCCTCCAGACACGCTCGGATCAAGAGAAACGACATTCCTTAAAAAAGATTCCTTCCAAAGGAATAACCAGTACCCTCGGGCAGACCGTTATTTTAACGCCGGAGTATAGCTAGTTTTTAGCAGTTCAAGATAATCGGAAACGGGGAGAGATATAAGGAGGAAAGTCGACGTAGGTCTAAAAAATATAATAAATATATTTTTTAAATGTCTAAGGCTACACGACAATCCCATAAAAGGCATCAACGGGAGGGGTTTCCAGAAATGTCGGAAGAACATTCACGAGATAACTGAGACGAATTAGCAGACTACGAGTTTTGTTAACGACGTCTCCATTATAGTTTTACAATTAATTCTCGGATGCCTTGACAAGTCGCCACGACCCGGAGCTTTTCACCTGACAGGACAGTCTGTCTTTTTTTCCTTTTCACCGAAACCTTTGTATCCTTCCTCTTTGAACTCACGTCCATCCTTTCGTCCGCTTTCAGAAAATAAAACATTGTTTTTAGGAATTAACGTTGAAAATTACTCAAGAAATGAAGATGAAAGGTGCTCCTAGCCGTCACGGAGTACAGAGATGCCGCGCCTTAAACAGGGTACCCATAATAATGAATTGCACCCCCCGAGGACATACGTAACTTCAGGTAATAAATTTTCTGGCGCATCACCTGATCTTCGGGCTAGAGAAAAAAAAAAAGAAAAATAGAAGAGAATGCGTTCTTGGATGTTATTATGAATTAAAATGTCATGAATAGTCGCGACAACGCGCCGTCAAGAGCCAAGGAAGAGCAGGGGGCGTGGGGGTCCACATCCGCGCATAGTAGCAGCTCGAATCCATTTAATTAATCGCCAGAGAAGGTGTGGAACCGACCGACCAATCGGACCGGTTCGTCCTGATACCTCCACCGGACGTTCTCCAAGGATTTCAAAGTGTCTTCCCCGTGCGGGGCTCAGTTAAGCGACCGAAAAACAAGAAGGCGCACCAAAGTCTGCCGCAAGTGTCGGGCTTGCACTTCGGTCGGGATCAGGAGACAGAGGAGTCGGAAAGCACAGGAAGAACCGGGAAAAAGGGATCCTGGAGGAGAAGGAGAGGAAGTCCCGCGGGAGAAAGGGAATCCTCCGACATGGAAGGGCCTAAATCGAGAGATCGATGGCTGGTTCAGGCATCCGAGATCGCAAGGAGGACCCACAATCCAATAAGGGCCATCGTTGACAACATCGTCGCGGAGCCCAACCCCAACAAGGCCATGATCGCCCTCTCCATCGGTGAGCCCCATATCGATTGACGAATCAGTCGATATCGACCGCAATCGGTCTAGGCTGAAAGGAAATTGACTATTTTCTTCTTTCACCGAGGGTGGCGACTTCGACTGCGGTGATCATGAGTCTCATCGGTGTTACCGAGTATTCTCCGTTGTCTGTATTTTATCGTTAAATTGACTTCTAGATTTCGCAATTTGCCACACATTGCGGAATCTTATTGCTCTTCTTTCACTTTCCCTTATCGGTCGTTTTAAGAAACTCAAAGTGACACGATCACGCTGACGTTTCGAATTCCAGAGGATGTATTAGATAATTGTAAACGATGCCGTGAAGAGAAAGTTATATCAATAATTATTTCAAAGGAGGAAGGATGGAAGGAGGACGAATAGAATGGTTTGAAAAAAATATGCTCGCTTCGGAATGGTCGGGTGATGAGCCTTGGAAAAATTTCCATTACACGTGGAACCTGCTTTGTAATGGGGAGAACTGGTTTGCCGTCCTTTTAAATTGTTAACCGAAGCGTAGGAACGGAGATTTTGTTTTAACAAATTAGAAAGGTACAAGATTGTTGCATTAGTCGAAACATTCGTTCGGTAAACTATGTCAGATGCCTTAATTCGGCCATTTCTTCTTAGCCTTCAAGGAACTAAGGAGAATATATCCTGAAATTTCCGGAGGACCCTCCTGGGGTCGAGAGGAAAGAATTGCAGTTTTTCGCGTACTCGAATTCCAAGTAATCAACCGAGGAGGGGTTAGGAGGACGAAATAGAAATTTACGAGGCCTCTAGAATTAAATGTTTAGAGAGAACGGGTGGTCTGGGGAATCGAGGCCGAAGACGAAAATGATTTATGGAAAGGATGCAGTTGAGTCCTGGGGGCGTGATCGACCACTTGAAATGGCGGCGATTAATAGCTTTTCGTCTATTTTCTTCTTATTCTTTGGGTTTCTTGAGACGTATAGAATCTTATTTTTTTTTTCTGCTAAGGCGATCCCACGACTTTCGGAAACTTGAAGCCTGCAAAGGAAGTCATCGAGGCCGTCCAGGAGAGCGTTGGATGTCAGCTGTACAATGGCTACGCCTCGAGTACAGGTAAATAGGCAAGGTAGCATTGTGGCTAAACCGTACAAATCTGTGACTGTTGACGAAGTGGTCTTCTATTTAAGGTTACCAAAAAGCACGCGAAGCCGTCGCTGAGTACAGCTCCAACGAATTCGTCAAAGTTGACCCCAAGGTAAAGTTTCCCGAGGGAACTTCCGAAGACCGTGACGTCAATCGAATACCTGTCGGGTATCTCGGGAGTTTTCCCTTAAGTCGCAAAAAGGGAATTAACAGAGTAAAAAACTTAATCGAGGTGGAACTGAAAAGTTCGAGATCCAGCCCGGGTACCTTCCCTAGAATCGCCTTCTAGGATAGAAAAAATCACATTTCTAACATTTCAAGCCCGTGTCTATTAATATCCTTTCAAAAATATAGGATTATCGTTAAATGGTCAGGTAAATACCAGAGCAAGTATTAGTACCGTGAAACGATCTCTGTAGACGAACCTCGTTTACGAAATAATATATAATTATCATACAAAGTGTCTAATCTACGGTGCTGCGGAAGATCTTAAGGAACCTCGTTTATAAGATTACAAACAAAATTAATTATTTGCCAGGAGAAGAGCGAGACTTCCCTTTGAAGAAATTAATTGGCCAGGGTCCTAAACTAAATAATCTAGATAATGTTGTATAGGTTTGTAGACAGCCACGAATTGCTCCATTTTGTCAATTTGTTTAGGCTCGCACTTATCGATTCTAAGTGATTTGTTCAGGAGACTCGATGCAATTTCAGAGGAGAACTTTTATTGACCGTTCGTCTTCGCTCTGCAGTGCTTTCAGGGTCGTACACCCAAGAGGGTTTCGAGCAATGACGAAAGGACCTTTAAGCGACTCGAGATATAACGTATACAGTTAAAGGCATGTAAAAATTTGCGAAAATCGGCTTTTTTGTCGCGACGTGATGACGGGGCTTGGTTTTGTTTCCCCTCGTGTGAATAAATTTCGTGCATCCGTTTCCACCATGAAACGGTTTTCCGTTTTTTAACTTCTGAAATTCGATGCTCGTTGTATGGTTTATTAAATTCGTACTAAAGTGTATACGTTGGTAAATCAGATTAACATTTAAAGTCAAGTATAAATTAGAATTTAAAGAATATTCAAGCAGAGAAATTCTATTTTGATTAAGAAGTTACTACAATAATTTTGAAAATGTGCTTTTATGCTCATAAATCCGACCAGTAAGGAAATAATTGTTTCCCTCGGGTCAATCAGAAGTTTTAATTGAACATTATTCCTGCGGCTCGATTGTGTTCCTCGGCTCGAAAAATAAGCGTGAAAAATGGCAGGGATTATTTCGAATTTGCGGCGATTTATTTTCTGCGTACAATACCGAAACTAATAAAAATATCCGCACAATACCAAAGTTAGTTAATGTTTCCCGCGAAATTGTGGCGTGCTCCGGTTTGATGCCACCTGCTAATGAGGGTCTTTGTTATACTAATGAATATTTTTTTTTTTCAGGATGTTATACTTTGCAGCGGTTGTTCCTGTGCCCTGGACCTCTGCATCACGGCATTGGCACGCGAAGGACAAAATATCCTGATTCCTCGTCCAGGATTTTCGATTTACCGAACTCTCGCAGAGGGTCTTGGAATCACCGTAAAATCGTATAACCTTCGAGTGAGTACTATACGTACGTACGTGAGTACGTAATCTCCTTAGAACAGAATTTCAACTAACGAAGAAACGTCAAAATCCGATCAACCCCGTTACCGGGCGATTTTCCCTTCTTTCAAAGATAATAATCAGAAAAAGAGTATTTAGATACCCCCGACTGCGTTCAAGTAAACTTCGTTATACTTTCTGAAGCCTACTTGACCCCGTGCTGATTAAAAGAGGGATCTCAATTTACAGGACACTTTTTTCTCACTTTGTCGGAAATTATTCAGTAATTATATAGCCGTGCTTCGTCTTCGTTTTCAACGTGGGCCATTGGGACCTGACGGTAGATTTAATATCGGAAGGTAAAACGAAATTTATCCGTTTCGTGGAAAATACTTTCGTACCTAAAGAACGTTCTTAGAGGGCGCGTAACCTCCGAGGTTCAATGTTTGCGGAATATTATTCCTCGTGTGAGGAATCCCGAAGGTAGAGTCTCGTAAATATGGATGTCCATCGTCTTGCAGCCAGAGCTGGGCTGGGAAATCGATCTGGACGATCTGGAAGCTCAAATCGACGAAAGCACCGTCGCCATCGTCATAAATAATCCTTCGAATCCTTGCGGATCTGTCTTCGGAAGGGACCATCTTCTGGACGTCCTCGATATTGCGAGGCGTTACTACGTACCGATTATAGGGGACGAGATATACGAGCACATGGTATGTAAAAGGCTTTCGTCATATGGTGCTTCCACATGGGAAGTATTCCCCACGAGGTATAGGGACCCGATAGCTCGAGGAAGCATATTATTCGGTAATAAACTTGCCTCCACGGGGGAAGAATTTTATGAAATACTTCTTGTCGGCAATATTCCAAATATCACTTTTTACATAAATATATTCATAGGGATGCGACAAGTTACCGCGCTTACGGATGGCTTTCGGGGTTTTATGTTTATATATCTGGAGTCCTGAAAATCCTTTCTTCACCTTTGTATTAACTATAACTCTACAATTTCTGTAACAACTTGAGCACAGATATATATAAAATGATGGCAGTCTCGCGAGATAGGTATAAATTTGTTTAGATGCAAGAAAGAACATAATTCATTTTTATTTAGTTCTTCAACACGAAGTTGAGGATCTTCCCGTCTTCTTTAACGGTACAATCCGCAACTTCATATTGGATATCCTAATTCATACCGTCAGTGGTGTCTTCAATTTTATGCGTCTGCCCAGACCTCATAAATTTTCTCACGCGTTTCCACAAGCCCATAAAAGTGCATGCTATTTAATATTGCAAATTTAATATCCGCGAAGGGTATTCTCTCTCTCTCTCTCTCTTGTTTTTCTTAAAAGAGAAATTTGCTACTTGCATCCCGAGTACCCTGAATCTGTAGATTATAGCTGAGAGCGAGTCCTTGAATTTCCGTTTACTTGGTACATATTGTGACGAATGACGGCGATGTGGCGATAAAGGACACTAATGTAGCGGGGCCGACTCGACCTTCTGGGTGAGCCGGACGAGCTGGCCATGGCACCGCAATCGGTGACGCCAGACCTGGACATGTTCCTCGAGGCTTCCTCGACGGCTTCGTTCTCGAAGCTGGGGTGACGAGCGGTAGCGCATGCGCGCGACCTCGGAGGGGTCGCCGATGTTGATACTCCGACCTGACGACCGGAGCCTCGCAACGCGTTACAGAAATTCGGCGAGCCCTCGAACACCTCGCCAAATATTCATCCCGAACATTCCTGCGAGTGCTCGAGAGCACTCCCGGGAACTCAGAAAATAAATGGATGATTTTCCTCGCGGAACATTGGGAGAGTTATGGATCGTTAAGGTGAAGTGAAACACGTCGAGGAACTTGATCGACGTCGATAAAGAATATTTTTATAAATGCCTACGTTGCCGACGTTTGTATAAAAATATTGACAGCTGTGTAGAATTATATTGGGTATTGTACCAAATGGCATACTCCACCTGTCGTTTTCGTACAATAATTATAAAGAAATCGAAGTAAAACTCCAGAAATCCTCTGGATTCATTGTTTCTGGGGCCCTAATTGACTGCAGAGGGACCCCCTGCGCCATTTGTGATTTCCAGGTTAATTAAATTTTCACTCCGAGACCTCGTATTACCATCAATTTAGCATAGAAGCGCATTCAACACTTTTTTTGCCTTTATCCCAATGAAATGCGAGTTTATCGCTTACCAGAGTGTTCTAAATTGTCGTAAAATTGTCCTGACCCTTTCGATTCTCATATCAAAGCATTCGATAATTGTATATTGATCGAAATATGAGAGCTCGACGCCATTTTGCTTCTCGTATGGGCTGAGTTAAAAATTTTTTCTTTTAAATCCAAATTTTGAATGTGTCAGGACAATTCTTAGATGATCAGGAGTGGTGTGTCAAAGTTTCGGACAGTTTGGTCTAATACCCTTAAAAAAAAGTGTTGTATTCGAATCGACTGATTTGAAGGGGGTTTCACTTCACCTTAAAAGACTCGACTAAAATCACTTAATAATAGGTTTGCTTTTCCCCTTCCCTGGGTCGGTGACAGTCGGACCTTGTATCTTGTAAAAAAAACGCGAAAGGGCAAGCTTCGGCCGAAATTTGGGGTCGTCGTGGCGTGGCCAAAAATTTATGACGTCACAATACATATATAGGCAAGGCCTTTAATTACAACCTGGACATGGATTTTCTATTTTCCGAACCGGGTCTATAATTAGTCCAAGAGGCTGCATTACCGTCGGTACTCATGCCCCAAATAGGCTTAAAGAGTCAGGCGCGTGGGAGTTACAGGGAAGTTTACGGGAGCCTGCAGGATGTTTACACCACGCGACTCATCCCGGGAACTGTCGTTGTGTCGAGGGACCGGGATCCCGGGATCCGGGATTATTCCGCCGTGGCTCTTGTTTTTACAGCGGGTATACTGGCGAGCCCGGTTCGCTCCTCCGTAATTTACTTAAGTCCCTCGAGGGTTGACGTGGGAACGGATCTAGGAATTTATTTAAACTCGAATTAGGTCTCCACATTGATGCACTCTTTCCTTTTTTGACCTATGGACGTAGGATATATGGACCCCGCATGCTGATCTGACCACGGAGGTAGCGGAATCAAAGAGGGAGAACAGAGGGGAAGGAAGTAGTCGGGCTTGCGGGCTCCTTGTATCTTACGTTCATGGTCAAAATGGAGATCCGACCATGGAGGCAGTAGAATCGAAAAAGGAGAAACAGAGGGATTGTTTCTCTTTTTCTCTCTTCTTGAACGTGAAACAGTTGCCCAGCGAAGTATGGAAACAACCTATCTAGCAGCAAGAATAGTTTCTCTATTCTCCCTCTTTCGGGACTGCTGCCTTCGAAATCAGATTCATGGACGTAAAGGGGATGGACCTTACAAGCCGATCTGACTATGAAGACAGCAAAAATGAAAGAGAGAAAACAAAGCGGCTATTTTCAGGCTCTTTCTTTTCCTTTGCGTGAAAGAGGTGCGCAGCGCAATATGGCGACAGTCTATTTAATAGCAAGGGGCAGAGAGGATAGCCTTTCTTCGTTGCCTTTGCAACAATATCAAGGTTAGGTTTAATGGCTCCATGTACCTTGCATTCATGTTTTAACTTTCAAGGTCCTCTTCGTCCCATTTATCTACCTAAAAATGTTACAGATCTTTCGATAAATATAATACCCACCCAACGATACGCCTAAATCTTGAGTGAAAAATATTGATTAAACTTGCGAATTTCAAGATTTAAATTCATATTAAAAATACTTAACTAGAACGAGTGGGTAGTGTTCTCTTTCTGGGATAAAATACTTAATTCTGTTAGTCAGTAAAAATGATGTCGAAGAAATTTGTGGAGGGTGGGGAGGTTAATTTTCTTGCACGTCGGCCCGTTTTCCTTGTTCCGTTCCTTTGCTGCAATTTTGGAATAGTTGGAGCGCCGGGGCTGGTTGATCGAATTTTCATTAAAAGCAGCAAGTAAACCGCGCCGAAGCGTTTCGTCTTTGAAAGGTTAATGTTCTTCCGGGTTTCTTGCACTTTGTGCTCCGGTTCATATAGGTCGTCTCGTAGAAGAAAACGGGTAGAAGGTTGCGGGCTAATCGGATTTATTCGGGAATAAATTCCTAAAGAACTTCGTTATTATCTCTGAGTCCTCGAATCGGCTGTGCCTTACTAACTGGGAGTCGCAATCAAATTGAAAGTTTCGAAATCCGCCTCTTTGGTTCCTACATGAGAGCACTCGCAAAATTGTCGTCACGGAAGTCCCTTCAATCGGTTCCACGTGCTCCTTGAAGGGCAGACAAGGATTTCCTAGAAAAAGAAATGAAAGACCCAGATGTTTCAGTATTTCCGCATGGACGAGGTTTATTACCCCAGGAATCCTCTCCTTCTTAGGAAAACAAATATTTTACGAACGTTTTTTAACGCAACCAAACAAACCAGCGAGTTCAGCTTATCAGTAATCCTTAGAGCATGCAAAATGTTAAGACACTTATAAAAGTTCTGCTTAACTCCAGTGGAATAATGATTATTTTAATGATTCGGAATAATTTTTTGGAAAATTCTTAACACGTTATCAGAATATACGAGGGAGCTCGTCCTTTCGGTGATCCTTTAGGCTTCGAAAATGTGATGGAGGTCGTGAAAAGGTCCTATTTAAGGTTAACCGAACGAAGAAAATTTATTCAGGTTTCCAGGATTACGTGGAAAGTGTCAGACATTCCCAATGTCGTAAGGCGAGAATTCCTTCTGCTGGTTATTTTTACTCTCGAACTTCGGAAATTGTTATACGCGAATATTTATGGATTTGGGAAAAGGGTCTAACTTTGTAATACGGTGTTACAATGCGTACTGGCTTCTGAGCCATAAACATTTATTTACGAGACGGATGTTCTTTCAGCTACATATACAGATTCTGGGTCAACATCGCGGTTGCGGAGGGTGTACAGACACACTGGGTACATACCGAGTACATGCGTCTACGTACTAGGAGGTACTCGACCGAGTCTCCTCAACCTGAGCAGACTCGGATTTGCGAATTTCAGCTTGCATATGGTTTTGTTAAAAATCTTTATGCGGTGGCAATATAACACACGTTAAATGCAATTGTTCTACAAATTTGCGATAAAACAATATGCACAATGGCGCAAGGGAGGTTAATTATAAAAATTCGATTATTTACGCGATATCTTCAATCATCAGTAAACCATTTATGAAGAATCGCACATTGCATATCAAATGATGACGACTTCCGACATACATTAAATGTAGTACTTACAGTATATAAACTTAAGGGAGAGAATTTCCTTCGATATTCGGGGAGCTGAGTTATCAAAAATTGGATTAGTACCTGCAATATTGTATTTCAGCAGCAAACCGATTTATTAGAAATTGCACGCTTTAAGTAGATGACATTCAATCCAATTTAAACGCGATCGTTATATAAATTTGCGATACAATATTCACTTCGATATTCAGAGGAGATGAATTATGAAAAATTCAATGATTAAATGCAATATTTTCTTTTGACAGTGAATGATTTAAGAAAAATTGCACGTTGTCGGTCGACTGGGTTTAGATTGCAATATTGTTGCAATTTTCTCGTTTTTTTTTTGTTTTTGACTGGGCGGGAATTAATTGCTATTAATGACTCATCGTCCGCTCGTTTAGCTTCTAGCTTGCCAATTATCAAGGCGAAATATCTGGGAAACAAGCAATCACGTTACTAGGTGCATACAAGCGACACCGTAAAGGTCACCACTCACCGTGCCAACAATATAGCGGCTTCGGATCGTGTCCGGCATGTCGGTCTTGTACTCACTCGTTTATTGCCTCGGTGACATTCCGCGATGGTAAAACAACGCGTGCGGTTCAGTGCCCGATCAGTACGTGGCAAAATAATTCCATCGATACCTGTTAAAAAGTCACCGAACTCGACTCTTCCTCAACCCTCTAGTGCAAGAAAACTAGAAAAAAACTGAAGATTCATAAAAAGACAATGGAACTAATTTCGGGAGAAAAAATTATATCAGTTCCATTATCATTGGTTGAGTAAAGGTGGTTACTCACATTTTGAATAATGAACTCCAAGAGCTCATTGTTAGGGTGAAACGCTACCAAGAAGGTAAATACAAAATTTCGCCGTTACTTAAATAAAGTTGTCTATCCCCGTTAAAAATAAATAAATGATAATATGGGAATAAAAGTGATTTTTGACTTGTCAACGGAAAGGCGACGTACAATTTGCGATGGGGAAGTATCCGGTCACGGATGGGATACGGTGCAGTATTTTCGATGAAACGTCCGGTACGATCCGTGCACGATACGGCGCCGTTCTGTTCCGTTTCCGACAAGTGAACGGTTGCATTGTACCTCGTATAAGAACATACAATATCGGAACCGTTTACTTTGTGATATCAATACGAGTAACGAGCGGGGACCTTAACCGTAATAACAGCTTGGCGTGCTCGCGACGTCACTCTTTCGCCGAACCATCGAGCTTGCGATCATATTTCTACTATTTTATGTTAATCACACCTTGCAGGTATTTCCGGGACGAACTTTCCACTCGTTAGCGTCTCTATCAACCGAAGTTCCTATCCTCTCGTGCAGTGGACTGACTAAAAGGTGAGCGGAAGTGTCACCCTCCTCTGGCAATGCGGACATAAGCCAACCTGTAATTTCAAGAAATATTGCATATTTAAACAAATCTTCATCCCCTATTTTAACGAAATATTCATCTATTCCGAAAAATAAATAAATCTGCAGCACCTAATGCATCGCTATATTTTTTAGCAGTACGAAAAGAGATTATTTAGGCGATTAAAAGTACTTTTTAAACGACAATTGAATCAATATCCGTTTACACTATCCTGAACAATGTACGATAGTCTTTGATTTTTATTTTGATATGTTGTAAGTTTGTTGGCGAGTAGGGTGTGTTATTTATTTCTTTACTTCGGGTATTAAATATTATATCATTTTCAGATTCTTAGTGCCGGGCTGGCGCATGGGCTGGATCATCGTACACGATCGACAGAATATTCTCGACAAGGAGGTAAACTTTCTGACCCGTGTGACCTGCCAAGAAACTCGAAATGCGTTTTCGAGTTGCGATTACGGACGCGTCGGGGAAGCTTTAGCGGCCTCTCGAGGGATAGGGAGATTTGATTAAATTTCGTTCATTTAACTTTTCTTCGCCATTAAAGTTCGTTCCCTGTCGCGGTTGTTTCTCGTTTTCTTAATTCTACTTGCTCGCCACTGCTTGGGAGAGGGAAAGCGAGGACAGGGAAAAAGAAGAGTTATTCCGAGACGGGCAGAACTTTAATTTCCCTCTCGCGACGTACCACGATATATTAACTGCACGCATGACTCCTTGAATTAGCTTTGCTTAACTTTTCCCTTAACGACCGGCTTGTCGGCAATCGTTACGGACAGACACCGGTGGACAAGAGTCGTTAAAAGTCTCTGTTAAAATTGAGACATTAAAGACGACTCGGAGGAATTTTTTTATATCTTCACTTTCCTTTCTCGGTTTCACAGCGTTTAAAGAACCATGTAATTGTTCCTTCGTAATACTTTTTATCCTTTTCGTGTTTTAGTCACGTTTATAAGATATGATGTCATTTTACGAGAAGAAATGAATTTGTCCGTAACATGTACATTTATGTTTGCCTTGAAAATTCAGTTATTTAAAACTGTAATTTCATAGTATATAAAAGGTTTTAATAAATGTAATAGAAAACATAGATTTTAAGTAAACGCTCGCGTTGATAAATGCACTTTCGACTGGTGCGGATGTAAATGATTGCATCTGTCGGATAATGAGGGACCGACAGCTGTCGTTTCGTTTCATCTGCACTTAGACTATTATTTGATGTTGGGAAATTTGACACGGTAATATTTAATTATGTCCTTTCCTTTGTATATTTAAGTACACGTAAGTTATATTCTCTTAGTGGAGTCAGCTGCAAAGCAATTTATTCAATCGCCTCGACTAATCGGAATTTAAATAGTCGATACGCGTTTAATTTTATTCCTGTTCATTGTTTCTGCATTTATCGATCATTTTATTTCCAGATTCGGAAAGCTCTTAACTGTCTTAGTCAAAGGATTATCGGCAGCAATACGATAGTTCAAGGAGCATTGTCTGCGATATTAAAAAATACGCCGCAAAAGTTCTTCGACGACGTCATTAGTACGTTATATGTGAGTATAATATACCTTTAAAACTAATCTAAACAACTTCGGGTCCTTTAAAAATTACATAAAAGCTCCCTCAAATTAATCCTTCATTAAAACTCCATCAATCACAACAGAACGATTAAAATATAATTATCCTCGCCTAAATTCATCAAACTCGCGCCATCGGTTTCGACAAGAAATTCTCTTTTTATTTTCATTATTTCACTGGACTTTCAGATACCTTTTGCATATTAAAATATGTAAAGCAAACCAAGGATAATTCTTTTGAGAAATGAAAGTTACGTGACTCCATTGAATAAGAAAATTAACAAAATCTTAGGAAAAACAAATTTCACGTTGCTAGCTCACATTTACACCTTTTTTATGCCTCTTTTTGGCGTTTTACTTAAGGAAAATTTGCCAAATATTCTCGGCTCACAGGAACGATCTCGAGGGTGCTCGAGTTCGCGTTTCAGTCTAACCCGAGAGTGTCGGGCTGATTGAGTGAATTGACAAAGTGCGGGGGCCAATTGTGAATTAGCGAACAGGCAGAAAAGCGAGTTTCCGGCGCTACGCACACGTGCAGTGTCGTTGTCGTTGGGTTGTTGGGTTGTCGTCCCGTCGTTCCGACTCGGGTTCGAGTACCGAACGAAGGGATGCTCAAACGCGGGACAAGAGCATGAAATTAATTTCGGCCGGGTTAATATTAATATCTGGATGCGTTCGGATGCGTTGTATTGTTCCTGGAGTTATGTCTGGCGGTTGTGTCCGCTTTACGCGCATCCGAGCCCCAATAATTCCGCGAGTTTGGGAATGTACCGAGCGAATGTTTGCGTGCACTAATGCGCGAGCTCCGGTCCTTATTAGATCTCGATTTACATTCCCGAAATAATTTTCTCCCAGCAAAATCTTGATTTCGCATTAAAGTTCTTTTCCTTCCAGAGACACTCCAAGTTGGCCTACAACTACATCGTCAAGATCCCTGGACTGAAGCCAATAATGCCTGATGGAGCCATGTACATGATGGTAACATTTTTTATTATATGTCATTAATTACCCTCATCAAGGTATATCAATACAGCATATTCTTGATTTAATTATTGCGCCCCTCCCTTTCACGTCTGTGTAATTTCGATAATAGCAGTTAAACGAGCAGCATTAGTCTCCTGCTGAAATACTCAGCCCCGAAATTATTTTCTTGCAATTGACTCTTACGTGATTATCTTAATGGCTAAGTTATTAGGCTGCATTAGAAATATTAACATTGGGTGGTACCAGTACCCGACACATAGATCAAATACGTGCTCGCGATTCCTTCGGGCACCCCAATCCCGGGCTCAGAACGTATACGTCCATCTAATCCATTATTACATATCTCAATGCGCAGGTTTACATAGATCTTGACTGTTTCCTGGAGTTCAAATCCGCTCCTGAGTTCGTGCAGCGTTTACTGGTCGAGGAGTCCATCTTCTGTTTGCCGGGCGAGGTGAGTCACTTGTTAACGTCATTCCTAGGGATCACGTCACGGCGCAAAGGCCCATCTTCGGAATGCCTAATCCTAAATTTATTTCCTCGGCTTCCAGTGCTTCGACTACCCGTCGTACATGCGATTGGTAATTACAGTGCCGGAGGACATGCTAGAGGAAGCCTGCAAAAGGATCGAAGAGTTCTGCGTCAGACACCATTGCAAGACCTCGCAGGACATCCTGAGGAACTCTTTGCAAGGAATCGCGATACCATATTGAGAGAACGTTTCGAACAGGGTCTAGGCTCAATTCAATGCTTATAGTAATTTATGTATACACGCCCTCGTGATATCGCACTTGTACATACGCAATGTTTCGGTACCCAATAAGAGCCTTCTCGCAGTTTTTCCACCCTTTATCCTGATGTAAACGAACACCCACGCCGACGTAATTTCGTAAAACGCGTTACGCCCACGCACAGGTGCTCGCTTTCAAGTATCCTGAAACCCGACTAAGAGGAAAACGTAAATATACCTTCGGTTATGTACCTCCTGTGCAAGGAAAGTAATCGCGTCTCCCCTGGAAGTAATTACCTCAGGACATTGTTCCTCACTTGATTAGACTTCGCCCGCTCGTCCGAGAAGCACTTATAAAATACGTTAATTGTTAACTTTTTCCTACTCTTTTTCTATATCGGAGTTATTATTTTAGGTACGAATAGTTGCCCTTGTGCAGTACGAGATGGATCAAGAGGGAGTATGATTAAAATCCCATGTAATGGGGAAATTATACAGGGATATGCAGAATTGGGTATATATAATGTATATATAATTCATGAGTAAATAGGTAATATGTGGATAAATTATATACGTATAATGCTGTTTTACGCACATATTATGGGTATGAAGATGAATGGTGAATACATTATATCATCTCAAGTTTTACCTTCAGTATATAAACAGTACTTCTGTAATTTATTCTGCACATAGAGGAAGGAACACGTTTAATCATTTAAATGGTTGCTTAATTTGTGTAAATATATGTTTTTACAGATTTAGCCGCAGTGCAGGTGATAACATATTTTATAATTTTTTTTAAAGATCAGGTCCTTGTTAGCCGTCAGTGACGTAATTTTCCACGCGCTCTTTTCCATGTTATCCTTTTATTAACAGGGGGAGAAGCCTTCGCATACGCGAATAGCTACCTTTAGACAAAATAAAATAGACTGCACGAGGGAGGGGTATAAATAGAACCCCGCATATTCCACGTTGACAATGAGAGAAAGAAATAACCACTCGCAAGTCCCTTTTTTTTCCTCTTTATTTTCCCGACAACCGTGCGCGCGTAACAGCACCGTGGAATAAACAATCGCATTCAGATGTTTCACCCAGCTCGGAACACGCGATAATCTTGATTCGTAAAGCCGGAAAATCGAGCGTCGAACAGTTTCCATATTTTCCAATTTGAAAACGGAAGAAAAAGGAGGGCCTTTCCCGTTCGACATTTCCCCTCGTCGCGCGCGCGCGCGATTTGTATTTTTACTTTCAATCGGCATTTTTTTTTCCCCCGCCTTTTTGCTTTCGAACCGCCGGGCTGCATAAAGCGCTGCAAACGTTTCCCGATTTCGTGCAAAGAGAAAGTTTAATTTTAGCCTCGGAACGGGGGCTCGGTGCACGTGAGAGAAATGACGTTCCGTACAAAGCAGAGTTCAACGTACATAAGGGCCAGACGTAAATAGAACCCCGTACCTTATACACGAAAGAAAGGACCAGTTGCAGAAAGCGATTTTTTTCCCCCTCAATTTTCCCTCGCTACTGTCCGAAAGGTACAATAACTTTTCAATGGAATTGTCTTTTCAGTTTTGCCGCCGTCACGCGCGTGCCGTGCTTTCCGAATTAACCGGGAGGAGTGCTTATTGTACTTGAAAGAGGATCTCAAGTGGTGTTTCGTGCTCTCTACTTGAATAAAATATAGACATCTTACAAACATAGACATTTCCTTTTCTCCGGGCTTTTTATTTAACGAAAGAAATAATCGTGAATGCAATAAATCCCAGTAGAGTTATTTCCCATGTGGAATTATTCTGAATGAAATTAATAAAATTCTACGGTCTTCATTCACAAATTGAATGCAATTTTGTAGGAAGGGACTTTTTCATATATACTTCATTTTGAAACTTAATATTCATTGCGTTATTTAGACGATTATAATTGAGTAGAGTCAGGTAAGTCAGTTCGTACTTTCATGTGGAGCAAAATTGAGATGTTATATAATGTTCATTATTTCTTTTCTGTTGTAATGTACGGTGTACGTATTTTTTTTTTTTTCCTAAGGATATACGCGAAATTAAGTATATCTACGTGGACGGTTCCATGTGGTATCAACGAGTGAATTTGCATGAGTATCGTAGATTCGGTTGTAATTCCGTGTAATGTACGCCGAGGTACATTGAAGTTACGTATGAATATTACTGATTTAGATTGGATTTCCCGCGATATGCGTTACCATGAATATTTAATGATCAAACACACATTGCCGCAGTTAATCCAGGATCCCAGGAATATCTGCCTGTTGATGCTAATGTGAATCCGTGAGTTCACTTTTTCTCGGGAAGCGATAATTTTACTGATTGGAAAGCGTAGCACAGTTTTTTTACTGCCTGAAAAAGTTCACTTCTTTCAACTACAAAATATACGAGTACATTCATTAAAAATGGAACACAGCGTGTTCCCCGAAACGAATTCGCTTTTTCGAGAAAAAAAAAATCTCCAATTTAATAATTCACTGGAATATTTATTTCACAGAATCTGAAATTAATGGTTAAAGTAAAAAATAGTGCGAAGTGATTTTCGATGGGAATTAAAATTATACTACAATTACAGATTTCAATTGTGGTATACAACAAGTTTTTGAATACGTCTATAAAATCCTTAACATAGAGGAATGATCAAATTGTTTAAAAATCGGCGGTGAATTTATTCTCGGATTTATAACCGTAAACATGGAATTTATTTTATTACTACACTATTGGAGGCTTAACGTTATTTTCAATACCTTAGTTTACAATTACTGTTACTTATGGTGGTCCTTCGTTTTATCCCGATATTATTTTAGAACGCCTCTATATATATCGCCGTAATTGGCTCGCAAATTTCGAACGAGTGGTTCGTTTAGCAGAACTGCATTAATAGGGAATTAAATTTGAACAAACGACCTGGCTTTATCGGTGTGAGGGGAAAGTGTGTCGCGCACATGCGCGCACAAATTCGCGCCTTTGAAAAGAGCTCCCGTACATAAAGAAGAGGCGTAAATAGAACCTCTCGTGCGCCCTCGTAAGGAGGAATAAGGAGGGAGGAGAAAAGGGGGGAAAAAATAGGAAAGAAAGAGAACATGGAGAAAAATCGTCATCCTCCCGGAGGCAATCGTGCGATTCATCCTCGATCCCCTCCCGAAATTATTTCCTGGAAATGTAAATATTTTCCCGTTCTTCGATGGTACCGAGCAGCTCCCATCGATATGAAACCCGCCATTCAATGCCGAATTTCTTTGAAAAATAGAAATGTGCAAATACAACAACGGAAGCTTTGTCCTCTCGTAAAATAATTCCAGATAACTGGTTTTCTCGCTCGTTCCAGATTTTTCGGAATTTTTCGCGAATAATATTTTTTTCACTATAAAGAGGAAATCCCCTTTTTTTCTGTTTGCTCAAAGTGCCCTCGCTTAAGGGTGGTGCATGACGAGGAAAAGAGGTGTAAATAAAATGCAACAATCCACTTTGTATTGGTATTGCTAATTTTCAACCGTTTAAATGTTTATAAATGTGCATAAGAAAGGAAGAGTGAGAGCATAGTTTGAAAATGGACGCTCATTAGGAAGGTAATTAATTCCACGGTATTGTCTATGACAGTCTTAAATGAAAATTCATTAATATGCTACTCGTGGTGTTCACATAATGTGTATAGATGAGTACTAGAAAAAGAAACAGAAGGGCCCATACGTATGTACTTTCGTATACAGAGTCATTAAAATAGTTGCAGGAGCATTTTTTCAGACGGTTTCCTCGCGGTAATGTGTATGCGGTATATGTACATAAACGTTAAAAAGAATCTCATTTTCTGTAGCGGGGCATAATTGAAAAAAAAAGTAAAGCAAACATTGCGAATGCCACCTCGGGCATATCGGGGTTATTAAACACATTGGGGAAAAATATCATTCCCACGGTTGGACTTTCTTTATCACCGGCGAGGTCCATTTACGTTCGTGTCCAGCAATTATTACGAAATCCGGCGTGTCGGTATGTCGGTCGCAGCCACGCCGTGAAAATGCATCGGAGTGATAGAGGAATGGGATAATAAATAAAATTTCGCGCGTGGCGTAATTGGGCAAAAAAGGGAGAGATCGAGGGAAAATTATTCAGGAGTATTTCCGCTCATTGTTGAAATTTCATCCATGGGATTTGTGGTGCTGTCCAGACGAGGGTGAAAATTTCCATCTGTTAACACACCGCTTGGGGCGATGGCGCGTCGCGAATGCGAAGGAAAGACGGAAAAGCAGACCGCGGGAGAAAGAGGGGAGAAATTAAAAGAGCGAGATGGGGTACAGCGCTAGACAGGGCCAGCCGAATCATACATCTCCCATCCCCGTGGGGCTCTTATTTTCACTGATGACTGTACAGGGCCCATTGTAACCGTACACCCTATAGGTGTAGGTACAGTGCCTCTACTGCTCATTATCGCATACCAACCTACACATTATAATCCTTGGTGATACTCGGCGCGGTTGAGCACTGCTCCCATCACCGAAGGGGCATTTGTAGGTGCAGCTGAACAAACTGCCTAGTCGGAATCGCCGATTACGATTTGCAATTACGGCCTGGGTTAAGAAGAGGAGGACAGGTGCATAAGTGCACCGGCTGCAGCAGCGTTGCAGCGCGAACGGGGTTTCGGAATTTTTCTGAAAGGAAATTGGGTGGATTGCAAAATTGATTGAGATAATTTCATGCTTCGGGAAGAGTGAACTTACCCGATGCAGCATCCTGAATTAAGAGGTGTATACGAAGGAGGAAGAAGGAAGATGAAAATGAGCAGACTCCGTTTCATCGTTGTGGCTGCAGATGACCGAGGCAAGATTAAGGGTAATTGTCTAAGGATATGGGGATTTTGTTTTTAACGAAATGAGAAAGTAACGGGAGAGGAAACGAGTGGATTTGGACTTAATGGGGTAGTTTGTTTTTCTGAAAGTAGCGGAAGCGAATTTTGAAGCGCTATATAGACGTTCTTGGAAGGTTGGTTGCTGGCGCTTCTAAGGCGGTCAATAAACGTCGGAATTATTGCCCGAGAGAATCGTTACAAATGGAATGCCGCCGAGCAGATATTTCTCCTCTGAATGGCGCATTTGTTTCTAATTTTCTAAATGGTCTCACTTCGCGACTCGTTATTGGACTGCGGAAAATGCCGGGAAACGTATCGGTGACTAGGGGCTGAGGGTGTCTCGTTTTCGGCCCATTCAATGGGAAACTTCTGAACCAGACCATGCATCGCATACGTCACAATGTGTAGAAATTCTTTCTCGTTGAACAGCCATTCAGAAACGTAAAAGTAACATTTCTACATTTAATTTCTCACCACTCAAGTCGTCCTTGATAATTTCTATCTGTAACTATATTTAATATCGACATTTTTTGGACCTTGCCGGAGTGGAATAAAATATTTCTCATGTGCATGCATTCTCGTAGAAAAGGACTGCCTGTATAATAAATAAAGATGCGTTTTAAGGTTCTTTTTACACACGAAAAAAATCATTCTTAGATGACGGCGAGCAGCAAAGGCCACCTCGTCCTTTGGAGGGAAGTACGTCCTCCTGGTCCTGAAAGCATCTGAATTATAGAGTCGTCTGAGTGGACAGAGTAATCGAGCCCAGACTATGGTCCACCCTTGAAACAAGG